CTGGTAAAAATATTAATAATTTATTTATTATTATATTAAACTAAGAAATARTATTAAAAATTAAATTATATTAAATTAAAAACCTAGTGCCACTAGTAAGTTGCTTTAAAAATTTTAAATAAAATAAGTAATTTTATTTTAATTATTAAAGTTATAACTAAGCACTACTTTATAGCTTTTTATTTAATTAAATTATTATATAGCTTGTAAATATAGCCTGCGCTAGAAAAGTAATTAAATTAATTAATAAAGGTTATATTAAAGTAGGCCTTATAAAAATTATATGCCTTTAAAATAAGCTTATTTTTAAAGCTATTTAAACTAGAGTATTTAAGGGCTATAAAGCATGTATTATAAAAATAAAAAATAAATTAATTTATTATATATTAATAATAATCCGCTGGATTAACCAGGTATTTTAATAGTTAACTAATAATATAAAAAATATTTAAATAGGTAAGCGTGCTTGCATATTTAATTAAGCTAACTTTAAACCTTATTTTTTTAATTTATTAAGGTGTAGTAGTACTAAAATTTAAATAAAGCTTGCTAAAAAAAAAGGTATTTTTAAAGGTTAAACTATTATATTTAAATAAAATTAATTTATAATTACTTTAATATAAAAGTCTTAATATAACCAAACCTTATACTTTTTTTTATCCTAAATAATTTAAATTTTTAAAAATTATTTTACTTTACTAAAATACCGGAGCTTGTACTTTATTACTAGTTTTTTTTTAAAGGTAGCTATAGTAGCTTGGCCTTTTTTAATAAAAAGGTTTATAATAATAATATTATTTATATAAACAAGAAAAATTATAAACTTACTAATATAAAGGCACTTTTTTTTAAAAATTATAATAAATCTAAATTTTTATAATATTATAGCTAAATTAAGTTACTAAAGATATAAAAACTTTTAAAATTTATAAATAGCCTTAAGGGCCTTTAGTAACTTATCTTGCTATTTATAGCTATTTAAAAAATAAAAATATATTATTTTTTTAAGGGTAGTGTTAAAAAACATGTTAATAGTATTTTTTTAATTAAAATTAAGGTTAAAAGTAGCTATAAGTATTACAAGAGCTTTAAAGGCCTTTACTAAGGCTATTATTACTTAATTTTTTTTAAAAAATTTTAGTTTTAAATCTTTGTGTATATAGATTTAGGCTTTAGCTTTAATAAAGTAATTATTAATATTAAGTTTATAAGTAAAAACCTATAATAAAGGGATTAGCTTATTTATTCCTACCTTTTATTTATTTACTATTTTTTATACTTTTATTTTATAAAAAGCTCCTAGTTTAAGATTTATAGTCTTTAAAAACTTATTATAAAGTAAATAATTTTTAAAATTACTCTAGCGCTTGGGAAAAAAAGGTAAATTATTTTAATAAAGCTATTTTTTTATAGGGTTTTAATAAAAAGTAAAAAAGGTAAATTAAATATAATTAAGGTTATTTAAATTGTTTAAGGGAGTATTATTTAAATCTAAATTATATATATAATTATTAGTATTATATTATTTATGCCTACGCTTAAATATTTTAAAAAAAAGCTAAAGTTACTAGAGTTTTACCCTTTAAGCGCGCTAAGCTTAAAGGCTAAGTAAAAAAAAAAAAAAAAGCTAGGCGTGCTTATTTATTTTTTTTAAGTAATTATTTACTTACTAAATTAATAAAAAAATATTAAAATGCTTAGGGGCATAAAATTTATTACTAGGGATTTTTTAAATAGGCTTTTAAAGTTATTTATAAGGCTAAGTTTTATATAGGCCTTTTATAGTAGTAAAATTTAAAAATTATCTTAAAAGTTAGCAAGTATAAAAACCTGTTTGGCTAATTAAAGGCTTTTTTTTTATTAATAGTATTTTTAATTTTACTAGTAGTATTTTAAGCCTTATTTCTTGCTTTATACTTATTACCACTATTAATACCTTTTTTTTTAAGATTTCCACCACCCGTGGCCTATTTATATTTAAAATACCTTTATTTTTTTTTTTTATTTAAAAAATTTGCTAAAATTAAGGTTAAGGTTAATTTCTTTAATCTTGTGGTTTTAAAAAAAAATATTAAAAACTTAAACTAAAGGCTTTAGTAACTTAATTTTAATATTAATAGTAAAAAAGGGATTTTTTAAATTATATAATTTAAACTTATTAAAAATAATATTTTTATAAGCACGTACAAGCTGCTTTTTAGGGAACTAGATTTACTAAATATTTAAGGTAATATAGCCTAGTAAGTATTTTAATAAAGCCTTTAATTTTATTTTATAAAAACTTTTTACCTAGAATTATTTTACCCAGGTAAAATAACCTAGTATTTTAATACTAAAAATATAGGGTTTTTTACTAGTAAGTGCTTTTTATAGTATTTTTTAATTTAGTAGCTTAATAAAAATTTAATTATTAACATAAGCTACTACCTTTATAACCTAGGGCTATATATTAAAAGGGATTTTTTTATAAAGTACTATTATTTTTACTTTTTTAATTAATATACTACTAAAGCGCTTAGCTATATTATTTTAAAAAAAAGTATAAAAAGTAAACTAGTTCTAGAGTATACCTTAAAATATAGTAAAGTTAAAAATATTATTACTAAGTATAAGCTTATAATTATTAAAAAAGACCTTAGGAGTAATATTAAACTAGGTTTAAATAAGCTTAATATATTATTTAATAATATTTTTATACTTGCTTTTTTCCTAGTGGACGTAGGCCTAGTAAAACTTAGTATTTTTATTATAAAAATAAGTTACTTACTTTTTTTTATTTATTGCTTTTCTTATGGAGATTAGGTTAAAATAAACTTAATTAAATAGTATAATAGCAGGATCTTTAGGCCTCCTAAATATTTATTAAGGGGCTTATTTATATTTACAAGTATTATATTATTAAGGCAGTTAAAAACTAGTAATCTAAACTTTTTTAATTATAATTAATAAGTATTAAAATACCTTATTATTAATATAACCTAGGCGCTGGTAAACAGCTTTAAAATTTTTTTTAATATAAATTTTTTAAGTTAAGGTCTTAACTTTTTATTAAGTTAAAGTATTAGTCTTTTCTTGCTTTAAGTTCTTTTTAAACTTAATTATTTAAAGGCTAAATAAGTAATTTTTAAGATAAAATACTAGTTTACTATTTTTAGTAATTAAAGTATTAAAATTTTAAAAATATTTAGCCTTTTTAAAAGGCCTAGCTATTAAAATATTAATATAAAAGCTAGGTATAAAGGCTACTTTACAAAAAGTAAAAGGTATTATTTTACTATTTAAAGCCTTGGAATAAAAAAGTACTAATTTTATACCTTAAATAATAATAATTATATTTCCTGCTTAAATATTACCTTCTTTTAATTAATTAAAAAAGGTAAAATAGCTAAAATTATTATAAATATAAATAAAGGCACTAGTATTAAAAATAAAGGTATTTTAAAGTATTAAATTACTTTAAATACTTATAATAAGCGCGTAATTATAATATTTTTTTTTACCATAGCCTAAGTAGCTGGGAAAGCTTTTTAAGCTTTTTTTTTAACTTTTTTTTATTTTTAAAAATTTATTTATTCTTAGCCCTTATTTTTTAAAGTTTCTTGCTATATTTATTATTTTTGTTAAAAGCTTTATTAACCTTTTTATTTATATTTTTTTTAGGTTTATATTATAGCTTTTTATATAATTATATAAAGTGCTAATATTACTTTACTACTTAAAAATAGCTATATAAATAAAAAGGCTTGTTATTAATTAGTGCTATTTTAAAAAAAATATTTAATTTTTTATTAAAAGTTATAAAGGCCATTACTCCAGCAAAGTTCTTAAAAAAGCTATTAGTTATAAAAAATATTATTAATATTTAAATATAAACTAAAGGTAAGAAATTAAATTAGTACCTTTCTAGTTTAATTAGTTAGTATTTTATTTTATATAAAAGTTTAAATACTTACTAATTATTTATAGGAAGGTTATATTAGCTATTTTATTTTTTAATTTAGGTTAATTAAGATATTTAATCTTTTAGTAGGCGTTCTTATAGTTTTAAAGTTAATTATTAATTTTATTTTATTAAATTAAAGTATTTAAGGCTATAAAATAGTTGCTAAATACCTTTAATTTAGTTTTAAAATTAGTTAAAGTAAACTATTACTTTAATTTAGCTAAAATTTTTATAATAAGTTTATTTTTAATAAGTTATTAAATAAAAATAGTAATAATTTTTTAAATAGCTTTATTTATTTCCTAAACTTTAATATAATAGTACTTAGTATTAAGCTAGTATTTATTATATATTTTAAATACCTTTTTAATTATATTTTTAGGAGGCAACTTAAAAAAAAAAGGGATTTTTTTTTTTTTTAAAAAATATTTAAATTAAAAAACTCCTAAACTTTTATTATTTAAGTAAAATAAAAAATTTAATTATATTAAGCTAGCTAGTTATCCCTGGACTTAAGAATAACTTTTATGCTTATAATATTATTAATAAAAATTATAATAACTTTTAAGTTAAGTATAGGAGTTAAAAATTAATTAATATTTATTTTAATTTAATAAAAAAGGTAATTAATTACAAAAAGGCTTGGTATAGCTTTAAAACATATACTTAAAGGTATAAATAACTTTAAAATATTTAAAAAAGGTAAGAATTTAATAAGCTAAATTATTAAGTTAGTATTTAGGCTTATAATTATAAGGCCCTTTATATATTATACTAACTAGTAAAGCTATTAATTAAATACTATAAAAAAAATAAAAAAAAAAGTAAGTTATTTATTAAAAGCTAAAGCTACCTAGGGGTTTATATAAATATTTTAAGCCTTTAAAAACTTATTAGTGGCCTAATTTTTTTACTAAAATAATAAGGCGTTAAGCGCCTTACTTTTCTATACTAACACGGCATGTGGAGGCGTTAACAAATAAGAACTCCACCAAACTCCACCTTTGGCTGACATCATGTCTAGGATAATTGGTGGACTGAACTTTCAGGCTTATACCTACTGCCGCCGTTGACCTCGCCCCCATCCCTGCCCCTGCCCCAGCCCCTTCGCCTGAACAGGATGCATCGGCATCCCAATCCTCACCCCCTGCGGCGTCACAACAACAACCTGCGGAATAGTCCCATTCCGAACACCCACATGCCCACTCCCATCCCCATAAAACCCCATGGTCTGCCCACCAACACCCGGACTCACAGACCTCTCCAATCCCGGCCGGAAACCCGGACGGGGCGTCATCTGCGCACGCCTCACAGGTGGGTTCGCCTGCAGGTGCGTCTGAACCGGAACCTGAACCTGCGTCTGAACCTGCGTCTGAACCTGCGTCTGAACCGGAACCTGTACCTGCATCTGCACCTGAGGCTGAGCCTGGCCCCGCGCCTGCACAACCGCTCGTTTTGCAGCCGGCGCACCCCCATAGCCCCGATCCAAGTTCTCCGCATGCACCTTCTCATAAAGATGACAGTACATATCGAGCGCGATATCAGGCGGCATCATCAGAGGAACAGGGACACGCACGCCAGGCGTCTCGCGCATCCGCGCAGGCTCATGGAACCCGTTCATCGCGCGGAGGAGCGGCGCGTGGCCGATCTTCCCCGATAAATGCAATGGCATCGTCGGCCGCGCAATGAATATTAAATGCGGGTTTACGCTCTCCACGGGCCCGGTGCCTAGATCAACCCGTCCATCTTCTGTCTCGAAGAGCCCGGTCCCGATCGAGGCTTGTGTGCCGGTGAAGGCTCTTGCCAGGAGCGCCGGGTGGTCTTTTATCAGCGGCGGGGGGATGTTGTAGGGGGGTGCGTTGGGGAGGATGAATCCCGCTAGGCTTGTGAAGGGGCGCGAGGTGAGGGTGCCGGCAAACATGGAGGTGGCCATGGAGTCGTGGAGGGTGTCGTCGTAGGTTTGCAGGGCTGTGCGGATCTCGGTGATTTTGGATGCGAGTATTCCTGTTGGGATTGGGCGGATGTAGTTCGGTCGCTTGCATGTTGGGCAGAAGCGTAGTGGGGAGTAGTTTGCTGGGTCGGTGAGGAGTTGGCGCAGGGCGAGGGTCCAGTGGATGGTGCAGCTGATGCACGAGGCGCGGTGGTGGCGGCGGGATTTCTGGATGGGGTTGAGGTGTGCGGACATTGTGGTGGTTGTTGCTGGTATTGTTTTTATTCAGATCGCGTTTTTGAGCTGCTTGCTCAGCTCCCATGGATTTCGACGTTTCCCGGTACACGGCTGCTGTTGTTTTTATAGGTCTCTATCGCTTTGTTCCTGATTCCAGGATTCTCTTTCGCTGCGCGTGTCAGAGTATAAAGGGCGAGCACATGGTCTTTGTGCATGATACGTACCGCCCAAGAGATCGTATTACACCCCTGCTGGCTATTCCAATGAGCTGTTCGTCTGCTTCAAGCACTTTACATTCGTGTTGAGGCAGGTAGGGGTACGTTTCACTGCTGCGTCATTGTTCCAGCCCCTTTGCATTGGATGATTAAGAGACCGGCAGACGCGGTGATTTTCATTTGGACGTTGTAGTTTGGGCGATTTCGCGCAGTTAGAGGATAAATTGCGATATTCTGCGCTTAAGAAAATTCTCAAAAGTGAGCAGGGTTGGCTGGCTTGCGTCGAGTCATACCCGTCCACTGTTTAGGAGCGGAGCTCGAAGTTAGGGCTAAACTTCCAGGTCTCAAGGCGGGCTTCTTTCCCACTGTCGAAAATTCATTCTACTAGATTAAAGGCAGAAGTAAATGGCATGGAAAAGTTTAACAATGGATCGTAATCCATAGGACGGAGCAAATTTACCAGGCAGTAGACTGTTACCTGCCGAAACTTGCAGCCTGAACGGCCAAAGTTTCCAGACCACAATATCGTCGCGGGGAATCGTAAGCTCGTAGCGGGTAGGAATGCATTTCCGACGATGAACGGTTTAAGGAGTCTGATCTTCCTGGTGCTCTAACCTTTTTCATTTTTCTACTCTTCACCACCTATACTTGACCCAGCAACCATCGCCATCTACCCATCTTTTCAACCCCCCGCGTCGTATTCCACGCCTGCGAACCAAGCACCATGCCATATACAACGAACGTTGTCCACCCTGTGTCGAGATTATCCACATTGCAGAACGTTGGAGAAAAGGCGATGCCGTCTTCGTTGAGCAATGTCGAGAACGAGGCGGAGATGGAGATGGAGATGGATACCAACATGGACGGGGAGTTGGATACCGAGATCCCGAGCACTCAGGAGGAGAAGAATGACCAGACAAATCAAGATGGTGGTGGTGCCAGGTATCAGTGGTTTGAATATCGTATGGAAGGTGTTAGGGTGGATTGGGGTGAGTTTATGTCGACGGAGCTGGAGGAGCCTGGGTCTGAGTTTGAGGGTATGGGAGAAGATGAGGGAGGAGAGGACGAGGAGTCTGATGCAGAGATGGGCAAACAGGATGAAGAACGAGATGGAAACGATACTGATGGGGGAAGTGAGAAGAGCGAGGGTCATGCACACACTGGGGATGAATGTGCCGTATGCGAGGACTGTGAAGAAGATGGTGCAGGCACAGCCAGCTGGGATGAAGTGAAAGGGGATAGCAAAGAGGGTGACATTACCGTGGAGAAAGTATGTGCTGATGAAGACGACTCTGAAGAGGATGAGCCCATGAGTGACGGCACACAGGCCGTGCACTGGGAGATGGAAGACCCTCCTTCCCCTTTACCCGAAGGCGACCGCGAGTACTTCGCCGACGGAGTCATGCAAGGTCAGAACCACCAACCCGTTTCAATCATCCCAATACTTCCATCAACAATGCCTTCTAACCACCATGCAGACACAGACACCGGCCCCCTCCCCTCCTACATCAAGCTCCAAGAAAGCCACCCACCATCAGTCCCAAAACACCTCTCGCACCTCGACACAATAACCCTAAAAGCCTCTCTCCTCTCCCTCCTCCCAGGACCGTACTTCCTCTCCCTCCCGCCCGTGCGCGAATCCATGCACCAGCAATCCAAAGAGTCCATACTCGCCCTGCTAAGCACACACCTGGACCTGCACCAAGCGCGCGCACAAAAGTACGAGTCCCGCAAGACAGCAATCAGGCTTTATCATCCCGACGCAACCAAAAAGGCGCTGATACGGGAATTCCTCGATGGCAGGGCTGAATCGAGCGGGTTTGAGCCGTTTGATGTTATCGAGGGACTCGGGGGTCATAGTATGGCGAAGCTGTGTGGTTTGTTGACGGCGGCGTTGAGGGCGGAGGGGTTGAGCACGCCGGAGCTTTATAGGATTCTTGTGGAGCCCGGTGTTGAGTATCCGTTGTTGGCGGTTATGGAGCTCTTTGGGGCGGCGGTGGTGCTTTGGAGAGAGGGTGGGGAGGGGGAGAATGGGATGTGGTGGGAGACTTAGGGCTTCACTCTCTTGTGGCCCGGTGTCGCGGGTACAGTAACCTAACCACCCTGGGGCACATCACCTACGGTACCTATACGGTAGTACCGTAGGGTGGGGACATTGTTGGACCAACTTACTAGCATTGTTTGTGTTTTGCATATTAATTATTGAACTCTCTCCGCAGCTACTGCAATGGATCTCTTATCTTGCTTAATGCCACTGATCACCGGGGCAACTCCGCGGGATGATCTGGCCTCATTCTCATCCGGCCCATCCGCGCGCATCCATAGAATCAGAACAGCAACCTCAACTTGGAAGATATCTTTGAGTGCATTTACCCAGTATATACCCAGAAGAAGAGTCATATACCACACGACAGTACAAAATGCCAAAGACCCTCCTCGACATCGTTAGAGAATGCGACAAGTACGCTCCAGCTCCCCCGCGCCCTCACTTCAACGTATCTAACGCGGCCTAGCTTCCCCTACCAAGCCGACAATCCAGAGTTCTACAAAGCAACCCTGGCAGAATACTACGCCTTCAAAGTCGCCGGATCCGCATGTACACTGGGCCACGTCCCGCACGACATCGTATCCGCCTTCGACTTCAGCAGTTGCGGGTGGGCCGTTGACCACGACGCCCAGACAGTAACCCTCGGTCACAACCAAACAATAGACAAGTTTAATTTCGACCACGAGAAATGGAGCTCGGCCCTAACAGCAACAATGTCGACCACAACAGCAAAGATGTCAAAATCCCCGCACCCAGCCCTCTCCAAGCTCAGCACAACATGGCGAAACGAGACCTTCCCCATCGCGAACCCAGTGACCGGAAGGACCATGCTCGAGATCGAGCGCAGCGCGTCCGCCATCTTCGGCATCCTCACGAGCGGCGTGCAGTTAACGTGCTACGTTGAGGATCCGGCTCGTGGACTCCTCCTGTGGATCGCGCGCCGGTCGCGCACGAAGCAGACGTATCCGGGGCTCCTGGATAATACGGCTGCGGGGGGGCTGGAGACGCGGTTTTCGACTTGCCCGCTTGAGGCGGTTGTACGGGAGGCTGTGGAGGAGGCGAGTCTTGATGAGGAGATTGTCCGGCGTGGGATTAGGCCTAGTATACGGATTTCGTACTATCATGCTAAGGCTCCACGGGCGGAGGGGCCGGGGTTCCTGCAGCCGGAGGTGGAGGGGGTGTATTCGCTGCGTCTTGAGCCGGGGGTTGTTCCTGTGCCTGGGGACGGGGAGGTTGAGGGGTTCTATCTGTGGAGTGTGGAGGAGGTGCTGGGTGCGCTGAGGAACAGGGAGTTCAAGTTGAATAGTGCGGTTGCGGTGATTGACTTCTTGGTTCGGCGGAGGGTTGTTACGGCGGAGAATGAGGCTGGGTATGCGGAGATTGTCAGTCGGCTGCATCGGAGGCTGGATTTGGATTAAGTGGCTGCTTCCTGATGATATATAGAGTTATTGAATTCAATCAATGTCGACCACGTTTCTTTGTCTAGTCCTACCTGCCGGACCCTTAGTCGTGGTGTAGTCGAGGTTTCGGTATAATCAACCAAGACACTCCAGTTGCACCGAGTAAACCAACAAGCATCGGCTGCAAGACCTTGACTCCAGACTGGGCAGCTATGATGCCGGTCACCGCTGGGAATACGGCACCTCCAATCTGTCCCATGAGGAAGATGAATGCTGGATGGATGTCAACTTGAGTTTCAACTAAAGTACCTGGGTCAAGCCCATACCTAGCGCGGACGACCGGATCTCGGGGGTGAAGAGCTTCGACGCGACAGATATGCCCTATGCCGTTAGTTGACTCTCCTCGGGAGCAATGAGACGAGCGAGCCTACCGTGGCAAAGAACGGCCCAGAGAAGAGCCCTAGAAGACTGATCGCGACCGCTTCGGTGATGATATCGGGGACCCTGGTCCGATTAGCTTACACCCGTAATTCTTGAATGTGTTCGTACAGCCAAAAGACCAGCTCCAAAGCCAAGCAGAGAACAACATAGATGGAGATCATCCGGCGCTCGCCAAATCGATACGTCGGTTCAGCGAGCAGCAGGCGCCCGATGAAACTGCCGCCATAGAAGCCGGCAGGGACGTATCCCATCTTGTCGAGATCGCCATCGCGGACATCCACCAAGTACTCAACAATCCATCCTAACGGAGTCAGCACATCACTTGGTACTATCTTGTTGCAAGAACATACCCCCAGCCGTAATAGCCGCCCCAAGAAAGAAGAAAAAATACAAGCTTACAAGCCACACCCCCGGCATAGCAAGCGTCCTCTTCATCTCGGTCGCGGCCCCGCGTTGTCGCGATACCGCAGGCTCAGAATCAGATGCCTCGCTCTGCTCATACTGCTTCATGGTCGCCCACTCGCGGAAGGCCACCCAGACCAGGACGAGATTCAGCACGCCCATGCCCAGCGGCGTCGTGTAGAAGAGTTCCCAGTGCGAGTGGTCTCCCGAAGACGCCACTGCGGTTGAGACGAATGGCGCTACTAGACACCCGCCCATGTACATTGCGTGGATGAAGCCGAGCCAGCGATGGGCACCTTTTACGGTCGCGACGAAGTTGTTGGCATGGGTATCCTGATATGCTTGGCCAAGGGCCGCGATGAAGAATGTCACCGCGAAGAGTGGAAATGGGGGTGCCCAGGTGCGGAACGCGTGGGCGATGATTTGCAATGCTGCTCCGAGGAGCAGTAAAATGCCGATGTTGAAGTACTGGGTTAGATAGCTATTGGTCAGGGCGGCAAAGAACCAGCCGAAGAAGGTTGTTCCGTATCTATGAAATCAGCGAGTGGCGCCCCCTGCATACGGTTGGGCGTTCTCACACGATGGAAACCATGTTGGTGTCAATGGCATATTCCTGCCGGATGTAAGGGATCAATGCGCCCAGACTGCCATCGTTCAGCCCCGCGACGAAGAACGAGAAGCCCGAGCTGATGAGCTTGAGGAGCAGAAGGCGAGGGGCTGGTGGTTCTTGTTCAACTTGGAGATGCTCCATGGTTTGATGATGAATTAGTCGATATTCGATGTCTTTTGGATGAGCAATGGGATAAAAAGAATCAAAACGTGGGGGGTTGGAGAAGCGGGCCGGATGCCGGGGCAAGAGCTTCCCCAAGCAGCAACTCCCCCAGCACGCTAGCTAGTCTAGGCATGTAAGCCACTTTGCGGGGCGTGATCGTTCATGGTTGATGCTAAGTGCACCAAGCTCGACACTGATCTGACAGTTGGATAGGTAAGTTCGCCAGCACTTTGTGCCCTAACTCAGCTATATCTACCCAGACTACCCTATGATATGTTGATTATAATCCAGTCTAAGTTGCCTCCTAGACTTTTCAAAGCTGCTGGTGTTCATATCTAGATTAAAGCGCTGTCTTTGCTAACCTAGATAGTCGAATGACATACTCTACGCAATCTATCTGGGCGAACTCAACATTCTCATAACGGCGAGAGATCGAAGTCCCCTTTATACACCTATACACCTACAACCACGCCCTCATCGCCAAAAGATGCGCCAGCGCCCAATCCTGATCATTCGCATACGGATCCGCATAATGCCCCGGCCGGCCATCAACAGTAACCGGATAAACAAACGAACTATACCCGCGTCCACTCTGATCAAAAAGCACCAGATTCCCCCTGAAGATCCCCTCCGCACGAGCAGCGTACCCCTCCTCCCCGATCGCAAGGGCATAATACCCCATCGCAATCCCGGTCAGTGTACTCCAGTAATGCGGGAACGTATCCCCCCACAATCGATCCTTGCCAAACCAGTACCCGTCCCAGTGGCGGATCGCAATATCATGCAGGTGGAAGTCAGGCTGGCGCCCGCTGAATGCCTCCAGGCGTGCGAAGTGCCCGTGGGCTGCGTCCAGCCAGCTTGTTTCGTTTGTGGACAGGTAGAGTTCGAGGAGGATTATTGTCGCCGGCGCGATGATCGATTGTTCGTAGTTTACTTCTGCGGAGGGGTAATGGGCTCCGATCTCTGCGATGCGCTGGCCGTGTGTCGTGAAGAGGTGCAGTAACCGGGTGGCGGCCTCTTCGTTGCCGGTTTGGCGGAGGTAGGTGATGCTTTCCAGGATTGGGAGGTTGATGGGGTAGTAGTCGATTGCGGAGGGTTCGGAATAGAAGCGCTCGACTGTAGTAAGCAGGCGCTGGGTTGGTGTGGCCGTGGAATTTCCGTGACTTGTTGTTGGTAGATCGCCCAGCTTCGCCATCTGGAGGTGCAGCTGCATGACCCAGGGCCAGTTGTAGAGGCGCAGTGAGGTGTCTGCTCGTGCAGCGCCGATAGGCCAGGACCGGACGTACCCGTCTGCTTCTTGCAGCTTGTTGGTCACGTAGTCGTAGTATGTTCGGAGGGAGGTTTCGATTTGTGGGTTGTCTGGATTCTCTTGCAGCCATCGCGCGATGAGGACGCCCATGCCGACTCGTTCACGGCCGGTGTTTCGGTCGGAGGAGGTTTCGAAGGTTACGATGTCTTCCATCTGGTTGTCGTAGACTGCGTATGCGCCGGCCTTGGACTGGTCGGAGAAGTCTGTGCCCAGCTGCTGGTTTTGCGCAATGAATTTGGCGCGGTTTGCGATCAGTTTGTCGATGTCTGGGACGACGTTCAGGACAATGGTCGAATTGGTCTGGTTCTTTCCCTCGCCGATGGTCAATGTAATCTCCTGCTCCCCTGGCTCATCGGTCTGGAGTGACGTCGAGAATGACGCAGTGCCATCCGCAACAAAATCAAGCCCATCAGACACCACTTCATCCGCTCTCTGCCCTGAAACAGTCAAGTTCACAGCCTCACCAGCAACAGAAGTCCATCTATCCGCCTCGACATGCAAGAACTGGCTAGAGCGCTGCATGGCCACCTCAAAAAACTCATCCCAGTCCTCATGCCAAAACATCTCCCAGCAGACCCGGCGGGTCTCTCCACTCTCCAAAGTAGGCATGTTTGGATGAAGTAGGAATACACCCCTGGTATTTGACAAGGTCACTCGACTCCTTCCCTCAATGCTATACCCCTGCAGCCCGCCCTCGGTGAGAACAAGACCAAGGTGCGGACCTCGCAGACCCATCCGCGTGAGCTTTACCCACGACGATGCGCCGCCGTTTGCCCAGACGTGTGCATGGGCTCTGTTTTCAAGAACATCGGTTGTCGATGTATAATGGTCGTTGAAGGGCGTGTAGATGGCGAAAGACTCAGCGCCCTCGGCGTCCAACGTGAGGCTTTCGTTGCCGGTGTTGGTGAAGGCGAAGCACTCCTCCATGACGTCGTCTTCGTTTTTGACAGTCCTTGTGACGTCGATCTGTAGTCCATCCAGAGTATACGCTGCGCTCATTGTAGTATCAGTGACGCGGATCTCGGGCCTCTGCCAGAAACTCCGATGGAGAGGGCCGAGGTCGACGCATCCCAGACCCCATCTGCTTCCGAGAGGTTGCCAAGGTGTGTTATCAGGTCCGCTAATCCAGCTCATGGATGCATTGTCCTTGGGATGCACGATGGAAAGCAAAGCTCCGGTGTCGGTGTCCACGCCGATGCGAAAGGAGCGCGATTGCAGGTATTGCGTTGCATTGGCGGTACAAATGCAGGCAGCAATGAGCAAAGAGGCTTCGGAAAGCATGGTGAAAGGAGTATGGGCTATCATCAAAGCAAGGCCACTGGGTCCAGAGCGTGTGATTCCGATGGGCCTTATACATTGTTGCCCGGCCTGCATTATACCGACCATTTAACCGATCCTTACTCCGCGCGACCCCGCACGCATTCAATAAGCTTAGACACTGCGTATAGGCAGCTGATTGCAGGGATCCAAGGTATTCTATGATCTTGGCCAGGGTCTCGGGCTAATTACTTTGGGCAGTGGATCATCTGCCCGGAGACCCTGGGAAGGACCCTCAGGTTGGGGCAGCATTTGTGCTGTTGTGAAGAAGCACTGTTTCGTCACGGTATCGTCCAAGGTCTATATCTTAGCTTAAGGTATCTAGCGATACTCAGCTAAGACACAAATAAATCTCTTAGACTGTTGCCCTCTCTATCCATCCTGTTGAGTCCGCATGGCCACAGGTTAGGGCTTTCACCATCACAACACCACCGAGCAAAGAAATAAAACTGTACCTCTCGCCGCAACCACCCTCGCAGAAATCGGGAGATCCATCTCATTCTGCGGCAGTCCTCGCCGCGATCTGCACGCCCATTTGCCCGAGTCCTCAGCCAGTGCCGGAGATTACGAGGAAATCTCCCTCGATCAGTATATTCTCGAGTTTACTTAGAGCCCCGGCCATCGTGAATCCCGCGCAGAGGAGCAGTACACCAATGGTATCGGGGACGGCGTCTGGAATCTTTGTGGGGAAGCGCGCATCGGCAAGGGCATACTGCTGTAAAGTCCCAAGCGTATGCGTCATAGACTGTCAAGGTTCAGCTTACTCAAGCACTTCAGTTCAGGCACACGGAAACAAGAAGAACTGCGGAACACACGTCCGCAACAGGAATTGGTAATGCAGGCAACAAGAATTGGTAATCAAGACAGCGGACCCGGGTATAAATACCAGCCTGCTCGCTCCTTCCTTCTTCTCTTCTCCAACCACCTACTTGCCATTTATTTGTCTTTTAGCTCTATAGAGATATCTGCCATTTAGTGTCATTTAGGTGTGTTACCTCGTATATTAACTTGCTGCGAGCCGGTGCTGCATGCGCTGTGCAGCCATCTCACGCCGACGCGGATGCCCAGTGAGTGGCTGTTGTGACAATGTGAGTTGAGTTGGTGCTAAAGTCGCTAGATCCATAGTACCTCCCAGGGCTAGAGCCTTACCAAAGTCCAGTGCGCGTCAGCTTTACCAGGACTTCGTTCTCGCCGGCTCTGGAACTGGTATGTCGTTCCAAATCAGGAGCGAGGTTGCGGAGCGAGGTTCCGGAGCATTAGGCCGGGTTAGATATTAGGTATCCTTATCAATCCTGCCAGCTGCAAACCCGCAAACCCGCAAACGATCCTTTACTCCTCTAGTGCCTTTGGGAATTAATCATGAGAGGGCTGTTATTCAAGATCCTGGACCTGCACACATCACAACGTTCTCTCTGATGTATGGTACCAACCTTCTTGAATATACTATCATGGCAAGCATGTCTCTGCTTTCAGATCATGCGTGTCCAATACCGTACAGGAATTGGGCAAGCTAGGCAGTTAACATAGTTTGCACAAATTGGTGCAGAGCTGTAGAGATAATGTCTTAGTCCGTGGTTCATTTGTTAGATGCGAGTGGGTGTGACAACTGGTAGAACAAATTCGCCCAGATTGTTGGACTCTCTAACCTAAACAAATACTAAAAAGGGGTCTTGCTGGAGGCCCTTCTACAACATTACTAAGTTAAAGTTCACGCAAGCACATTGTATACAAAAAGGTTTTATGATTACCAACAAGTGTCATCAGACTTAAAAGAATATGCCAATATGAAATCATCGCCCGGTTAGCTCAGTTGGCTAGAGCGTGTGGCTTTTACCGCCTGCCTTTTGTCGCAGCAATTCTGCCGGCAGAAAACTCGGTGACCTCAAAGTCGAGGGTTCGAGCCCCTCATCGGGCGAAAGTTTTTGTCCTCCACACTTTTCGTTTCTTCCCTTTCCTTGCCTTGATGTCATTTTAGCTTAATTTACCTGCGGTAATGACCATCAGTGATATTGGGATGTTGATAGTTGATGTCCCTTCCGTGGGAGTCTCAATGTAACAAACACGAGTATATATGACCAAATGGGTATAACAGAACCCGATGTAAAGCAAAACACATTCGCTAATAAAACAAAGGCAAAGGGAACGAAATCACCACATCTTCTCCCACCACCTCCTAGCCCAATGCATCTGAGCCAACTCCGCCCTCCTCCGCTCCTCAACACCCCCATCCTCCCAAACCCTACACTCAGCGTCAACTTCCGCCTTGCCAGAAACAATATCCGCCTCTGCGGGCTTGACAAAACTCGTGCGATGCCAGACCTTCCAGAACGCAAACATGACGATGAAGAACCCAATGGCGAAGTAGCTCGTGATGAAACCCTGCGTGCTCCAGGGCGAGAACACAGTGAAGCCGTTGAAGATCGTCACCGCGCATCCGATGACGAAGGCCAGGATTGCCCAGTAGGGCATTAGCGGCGCGGTCCAGTGGAGGTACGTCATTCGGTCGATGCCCTGGGCGCGGAGGGCGCGGTACCAGAAGAGGAAGACGGCGACCATGCAGGTGTATGTTACGATGAGGCCGGAGGTGGTTAGGTCGATGAACCAGTTGAACACGGTGACGGTGGAGTTTGTGGATGCTAGGAAGGTGACGCAGGTGATTAGGGATACGACGAGGACGCAGTAGATTGGCACGCCGGACTTTGTGCATTTGAGTAGGAAGCGCGGGGCCTGGTTGTCTTTTGCGAGGGAGTAGAGTGTGCGGCTGGAGACGTAGACGTAGGCGTTGCCGCAGGACCAGCCGGAGAGCATGATCAGGGCGTTGATGAGGTCTGGTAGGCCGCGGATGTTCAGGTTCTCGATTCCGATGACCCATGGCGAGGCAGCGGATCCCGCGGAGCCGTCAGTAAGGGCGCCGATGAGACGGGGGTCTTTGGGGTTGCAGATGGTGCTGACGGCGATGGTTCCAATGATGTAGAAGCCGACGATACGCCAGAACGTCATCTTGACTACGCGCGGGATGGTGTAGCGAGGGTTCTGGATTTCTCCGGCGGCAAGGGCGGGCATATCAGGGCCAGGTAGGGAGAACGCGGCATAGACCATCACTTTGAACAGGCCAAGGAAGCGACCCGTGTTGCCGGTAGTATAGTACTCGAACATCACGCCGTCCGTCCAGTTACGGAAGCCGTAGACGTCGTGCTTGGGGTTGCCGCCGACCATGGTGATGAAGGTGAGGAAAACGAGGCCGATCAGGAGGAGGACTTTGGTGGAGGACATGATGAACTCGCTTTCACCGTACCATTCGACTGCGACGACATTGAGGATGATGCAGACGACCATGGCCATGGCGATCCAGACGGCTGGGTTGACGTCGGTGTTCCAGTATTGTATGACCGTTGCGACGGCCGAGTATTCGACGCAGACTAACATCACGCAGGCGTAAAAGTACACCCAGCCCCTGAACGGTTAGTTGGCGATTAAGAGCAGTATGATGGGAGACTTACATGGCAAATGCAAAAGCAGGATCAACGTATCGACCGGCCAGTTCGAATATTGAGCCTCGAATGGGCAGATATGTGCACATCTCCCCCACGCATAGATAGCACGGCCAGATGAACAGTAGTCCATAGAACAGGTACCCCAGAACGACAGAAAGTGGCCCACAGTCGCGCAGGTATTCTCCAATACCAACGAAGAGACCCGTTCCAATTGCCCCTCCAATTGCCATGAGCTGTAAATGACGAGAAGACAGGCCGCGCTTAGTCGTGCCGTGAGGGGCCATGGTGCCCTCGGCAGTGGTGATAGGGGCGTCATCAACCGAGGGTGTCTTTTTCTCCATAATGCCGTCCATAGTTGGTTTGTTGAAGACTAGACGAGGAGGACCGCGACCTTATAAGAACCCTAAACAGGGTCACAGGGCTGATAAGCCTGATATGCTCGTGCAGGGCGTAGGTAATCGATATGGTCTCTCTGTGGCGTCGAGATAAGCGCTATCAAGGGCAGCCTGGGGTCGGCCGTCTCGGGCCCGGGGCTGGGGCGAACGGAGCTTACCCAAGCAGGAAAGAGATGGCGATGCCAAGTGATACGGGCAAGCGCTGGGCGGGATCGTTATCAGAAGGCGTGACACCGCCGCCATCCAAAGCACAAGCCCTTATCAGCAGCTGACTCGGGTGGAATAGTGCTCGCGGACATACACCGGAGTAGTCTACTCCAACTTCAAGGTTGGCCTGGAGTTCTCCTTGTCTTTCCCTTCTGAGTTTAGCCTCAAGATTCTGGCTTTGCTTTGGACAAAGAAGGTTATCAGTTTGTACGGGATCGATGGTTCGCTGGATGGTCCGGAGTATGTCATTCTAACCCCGGATTTTTCCATGTGGCGGAAATCGATTAGCAATAATAACCTCAGTGTATCAATCCTGTATCCACACGCTTATCGAACGAGATCGATTTCATTGGGGCCATTTCGAATCAAACCATGGTTTGCATTCAAGATGATATGACGACCAGTGTCACATGAGGCAGGGCTGGAACAGACATCTGGATATTGACTATAAATTGAGTAAGTCCGGAATTCAGCCTGGAAGGAAGTAAACAAAGCTGATGAGTTGGTGTGAGCCTATTGAGCGGACAGGCGTAAAATATATATTTCTCTCACTTGCGCGGTAATCCGTGCCATATTATCGTCCTTGGCATAGCCCCAACGCAAGATAAAGAGAGAAATTGGCGGTCATGCCCTATTCCACTTTCATGACCTTCCGGTAAACTGCCACCGTCGTGCCATCGTTGAGAACTACATGCTCAGGCACAAGCCTATACCCACCAAGCCAAGGGAGCACCACCTGCCAAACGGCCCAATACACGACACCCGCAGCAAGCACCGCAATGCCTACAACTGGGTACAACCAATACGGCAGGCTCGTATCCCCCTTGCCACCGGGTGGCCTGATAAACGGCGCAACAACCTGGAAGGCCTGACCGGCCATGAAGAACACAGCGACAGGCCAGAAGACCTTGAATGGGCGGGGGAGCTGCGGTTCTGAGTATCGGAGGTAGAATAGACCAGCAACCACGAGAAGATTGATGATTGAGGAGGGGTAGCCTTCGAGATCGAGGATGAAGTTGTAGGCGTCACCGAAGGGGATCGCGACGATGACAATCAACGACGGGATGAAGTGAAGTAGCAGGCCAGCGGAGGGTGACCCGAAGGGCCAGGATGAGGCCCAGAATGTCGGGAAGGGAATCACGCCTTCCTTCGCGAGTTCTTGGTTTACGCGGGCTTGGGCGAATGTTACCGTCATGACGTTGCCGAAGGCGGATATCGCGACGAGGACACTGAACAGGTCAGTATCTCTGCACGGGACCGGTGAAGAGGTAGCGTAAGTAGAGTATTTACCTCAAAGCGCGTTCGGCCGCTGTTCCAAACACCTTTCCCATGAAGTAAGATGCGACCGTGGTCCCGCTGTTGGCGATTTCCTCAGGGGTAGCAGCGGCGTAGTACGCAACGTTTGCGAGGAGATAGAGCACACCGCAAATACCCAAACCCGTTGGAGCGGCGACCTTGAGCGTTTGCACTGGATTGCGGATCTCATTAAGTACATAGGCCGCGTTGGACCAGCTAGACATGCAGTCAGTATACGATAGTACATGTTCATGAGCGCTGTGGCATACCCGGCAAAGGAATTGAGGACCTTGAACAGCGCCGTCGCGTAAAGGTTACTCGAGGTCGCCGAGCCAGCAAAGGAATTGTGAAAACTGGCATATGGATCAGGGACGCTGTGGACACGACCGCTCAGCACCACCCAGCCGGTGACGACAATGAATAGAAGGAGGACGACTTTCATCACGCCAATCGCGTTCATACCGCGCACACCCCAGCTAGGGAGGAAGACGTGGAGAAGGGTAATGAAGCTGATGACTGCGATGGCTATGCCGCGCTCCTCCCACTCGGTCGCCTCTTTGCCAGATGCGACGACCATGTTCGAAGCAAAAACGATGCATCCGGAGGCTGATTTGAGTTAGCTGCGTCATACCATAAGCTGCATTTTGCAGGGAGGATGAATGTACCTGTAAAGCCTAGTGCAACGGCTTGTACGGCAAAGACGACAGTAATTAGTAGTTTCGGTCGACGGTACGCGGCCTCCAGGTAGACCTTTTCGCCTCCACTTCTAGGGATCATGCACCCCAGTTCCAGCCATACTGCTAGACCCGAGCCAGCAAGGAGAAGACCGAGAACCCAGAGGAGTAATGCCGCGCCGACGCTGCCTGCGCTGCTGGTGATTGAGGATGGTGTTGAGAAGATCCCCGTGCCGATGATACGGCCGACACTAAGAGAATTTGGTAAGTCGCCATTCGTAGATAGTAAGAGGGATATGGGTAGGAAGACGAACATGAGGAGAATCGTCGAGAAAACACCCAGATGCCGACCGAGGCCTCCTTGGGTATACTCCTCGAAGCCCAGCTCGCCAACTCGTGCTGAGCTTACTTTTGATTCCATGTTCTCATTTCCAGTCCCGTAGTGAGGAGAGATACTCAACTCGGTGTCCTTGCTCGTCTCGTACACCATCTTCAAATGCCAAGGTGCGAAAAAAAAGCTTGTCGAAGCTTGACTGTGGCGATCGACCAGGTTTCGAAGATAAGAATTTATAGTGACTCCAACTTAGCGCTGTTGATGGTCATTAGCACTATGATGGCGTGATTGCATTGGTTGGAGATAGGCTCAAGCGCGCAGGCAGCGATGTTCTTGAGGTGCGAAGCGAAGGGTGAACTCTGGACTTCTTGGTGCCATTGCTGTGGTATGGTCTGTCGATGACAGTGATGAATCGAATCTCTGTCGAAAGGGAGAGATGTAGACGAATGTATCGTGTATAATCAGGTTGTTCTATAGCGAGGTGCCATAAGTACGAGGCACTTACGTGCTCGACCCCACCCAAATCTATAGGGTGCGAGTGTACATAGATGAGTATATTCTGGGAGCTTACCTCCGTCATGGTCCAAATGCGCCTCGGCTTTAATCGCCTAGTCTCATGCCTGGCGTTCCCTGTTCTCAAAGCTGTTGTGCCCTCGGTCACGACTGATGGCTGAACGTCTCTGATAATACGCGCTTCTCGGAACATAAAGAACTCATTGACGGCCGCAGGGATTGGATAGGATAAATTGAGAGCATAGAAATGCATCCGGGTAGCAGATATGGAAAACCTGGTCGTCGCACCTAACATCGTCCTCCACTGCGTCACTCACTCCACAATTGCCATATGCCCGCATATACCGAAGGGAAATCGACCCGACGATGGAGATCGATGCAGCAGAATAGCACTCGACAATCTTTAGCTAACGTAGTTGGCAAAGGTGAAGAGAGGGTTGTAAATCTGGTGCAGATTGTATCTTCGGGGGCTGCAACTGGCACATTACCCGTTCGGGGTGTCGTTATTGTCTTGACTTGGTGCTGGGTAGTGTTACTGCTTGGGGCAATTGCTCGACTAAATCCTTCGTGCCTTTGATAAGGGACCGGGTCTGGCTCGGACTATAGCAGGTATATCCTTCGTCTGACGGTAAATCTTAGCCAGCTTGAGTAGGCACCCCTCTTTCAGTGTGAGGAGCTATTGAGACTTCGCGTCGAGTACCGTAAAGATGGAGCAGAATCAAATGACGTCTACCCCCGTCGTAGGCGATTCGTAACTCGACGCTAGAAAGAGAGCTTCGATTACCTAGGGATTCCAGGAATCAGCGTCGAAAGCAACGAGGGGTACCCATCAAGCCATTGTAAAAGCTCACGATTTCGGTTCCACGCCGCTTCAGCACAAATATTTTGGCGCTCTCGCTCCAGACGACACTGATGCGCTTCCTCGTGGAGGCAAAAGCCATCCATTGACAAAGAGTATCGCAAACCTGATTACCTGGCGGAGCAGCTCATGGGGGAGATCGACTATTGCGGGGTTGCGTTTGTGTTGTCGGAAGGAATCACGGCGAAGCTGGAGAAAGTCCGACTGGGCTGACAGTAGCGAGCACCAAACGTAGAGTTGGCGCCTTGAGAAGAAAGGTATGACAAGTCCGTTTTCCTGTCTTCTGGCTTAGGAGATGGGAACGCGGGGACGGAGCACTTCGATTAATGTGAGTTGGCTAAGGACTGTCAACCATGAAGATGTCTTTGGGCATATTACAAGGCTTTGTACACAATATAAATCAGTCAATAATAATGTAGCCCCCGCGAAATTGCATTCTGCTACAGAATATGTTTCGCACTCAATAACCTTCTCCTCTACAGGATCGAGACCATTGTTGAGGCGAGAAGCATTATTTAGAAATAACAATCAAGTCATAAACTGGAAGCAGGCTGGGTTATATACTGGCATATCGGAAAATCCGTTCAAGCTATAACATTGCCACGATATTTTGGATGTTGAGCAGGATGTACTGCTTGACAGTGACTTCATTAATCCAACGCAATGTAAATCTCATCCCAATCAAAACAAACATCCCTCAAGCAGAACCAGTCTGCCTTTGCTGGGTCTTCGGCTTGCCGATAAAACTCAATCCCACCTTGCACGCCATGCTCATCCACCGTCCAAATGCCGTCCTCGACAAGCTTTCTCCACCGGTGCAACATGGTCGAAAGACGGGTAGAGTGCTGAATGAAGAAGGGGCACTCGCCATGCTGCCACAACTTGCTTCCGTACGTCGGCTGTCTGTGCTTGACGCGTTTTCCTTCGCTATCCGGATATGATTCGATGCTGTAAGGCAAGGCTAGCCTAACGGTATCTGCCCAGCCCTCATCGGGGGCTATCCATAGGCCTGCCTCTGCATCCAGGTGCCCCTCCGCTGGGAAAAGGATCAGAGCATTCGCGTCATCCGGTACCCACTTATAACGCATATCGAAATTTGGAGTGTCGTAGCGCATAGTTTGAGGATCCCGGTAGGGCAGATGGGGCGGTGCGTTTGGGTTATAGATTGTCAACCCTGGAGCGATGAACTTGAACGGCGGCTTAGACGCTGCTTGGAGGAATGCGCGCGGGAACCCTTTGATTTCTTCTGGAAGAAAGTCATCGGCTATTACTTGTGGGGGAGCTTGATGGTGACACTGCTCTGGAAGTCTGGCTGAGATGGCTTCGACGAGTGAGTTCCAAGCATCAAGAGATTGTCTCAGAATGAAGGGGTTCCAGGGAGCAACATCCCAGCGCTGGACGAGCGAGCCCGAGGGGTTACATTTCTCGGTCCCGGGAACAACAGCCTTGTACTTCTCAACTTCTATAATAAACAGCCAGTGGTCCAAGAACTCTTCCAGCATGTACCATGTTGTTCCCGGGCTTTCAGGGTCCGAGACATTGACGTCGTGTGCATCAAGTCGATAGCAGACTGATAGGTCCTGCAAGTCCATTACCACGCCAGCGCAGTCGTACTCGCCGAAAACGTTGTTTCTCATGAGAATGATACACTCGTCCTTCTCGGTGAAGGCAGAATACTGGTCGATTATTAGCATATCACCTGGTGTCGCTAAAACCTCGACATGGTGGAGCAGGGCGTCCGGAACCCGTGGACGACCCTCTTTATCAACAATGACGTTCGCTTGTTCGAGAAAGGTAACGAGAGGCGCTGGGAATAGATTTCGGCATTCTTGCAAGGCGGGGTCGTTCTTGAATCCTTCAAACCAACTGGTTATTATGCGATCGCCTTGTTCCTCCAATTTACTGCCCTTGAATCCGATCTGAATGATACGGTTGTACAATGTGGCACACAGTTCTGGGTTAAACTCCGAGGCGCGTTTGTCCTCGTTTTCATCGTGAGAGGACATGTTGGGATGGGTGTCTTGAAGAAGGAAGAGGTCTGTGAGAGACGAAGAACTCTGCTGGTATGGCCAAGTTCAAGCCAAGAGGCATGGCACCCCTCACATCGCATTCATCTTCCTGAAATACTGCGAGGGTTAGATAAGGGGAAAAGGTTCGAATCAATGCTGACTAGATTACTATGGCTCCTACTTGGTGAAAATTCGTCATTCATTGTTATTGGCCTTGCCCCGGCTGAAATCATTTCCGTCGTCTACTAAAAACGGAGGTCCAAAGTATGGTAAAGTTGTAGACATCTTGCATGAAGCATTGGTGAACTAGATAAATTCATTGACACGAGTAGAAAAGGAAGAGATGCTAACAGTAAGGTGCAACAAAACCTTCAAGATTGGAACAATGGTAGATGGAAAAGGCCTCAATATCCGCAACGGCCGCAGTAGCCACAGGAGCTCGCGGAGCAGGCCGTGAAATCCTTCTCAGAGCCCGAGTCACCACCAAAGTCCGAGTCTTGGTCCCGCTCCTTCCATCGCTCCTCCCATCCATCATCGCTTTCTTCATTTGAACTTTCTTCGTCCTTCCTGTCCTCTGAATTTGCTTCTCCCACCGTCAAGCGTGTCTTGATTGAATCCGAAATACAGCAATTGACCTCGCCTCCGACCTCTCTCAGTTCCAACTCACCGTTGCCGTCTGAGCCTTCGAACACAACTTCCTATCTGCCATCAGGCTGGCCATGGGCGAACGCAATCAGGAGTTCCAGAAGCGTCGAAAGTTGTCGCAGTTCCCCTTCATGATCTGCCTCCCACTGCCGTACCTCATCACGGACATCTTCGACGCGCACATCCTCAAACACACCGTACTTGTGGAAGCCGATGACAAAGTTCGGAATTTGAGCGAGCCATAGTCGGGGAAGCTCGCCGTTCAGAACCTCGGAGTATTGTTTCATCACGGTTCTGGTTTTCAGATCGAACATGGCCGACTGCGGGATCACAACTCCTCCGGTCTCAGTGGTAAGGGGCTTTCCCACTTCAGACCGGACTGAACTCACTGTGGTCTCTTCAAGCGGCGCGAGCAAATTATCAGGAGTAGTCGCCGCAAATTCTTGACGGGAATCGGGTGGCTGGTAGAGGTTCGGGAGATACCCATCGCCCTCGTAACGGACGAGGCAAGATAAGCCGGCGAACTTATACTGGAGGACTCTCTGATGCGACTCCGACCCTTTGACTTCAGAATTCCAGGTAGTGTTTGCCTCTGGAAAGGTATGCCCGTACCCACGAACGTCTGGGATGGCCTGCGTTGGCGAATTTTCACGTCGCACCAGGAAGACAGCCGAACCAATCGCTTCAACCACAATCCTGAACGCTTTGCCGGGCTCCGCGATGAATCGACGAAGGTTACCGAGAGTACTACCGCATGCTACAACATCGATCTTGTTGAAATCGTACGTAGAGTCCTGCTTGAGGATTGCCTCTAGTGCAGGCTGAAAGACATGGTCGGCATATCGTGCTGCGTTCTGGTCGCGGAAAATACGTGCCGCTATCCTGGGGTAACTTGCCGGTTACTGCAGCCGGAGTCCAGGCTGGAGGAGAGCCTGCGGCGTGTCATCGTAAGCATGATGTCGCTGGGTTGATGTCATTTCAGGGAGTTGCGCTTACCTGGAACAAGGATTGTTGGGCTCTTCCGGTTAAGCCAGTTGTAAGACCCTACCAACTTGGCTTCGGTAATCTTCGCCGCTTTCTGGACGCATGATGAGGTTGAGGACGGGTTCAGTTCGCTTCTGCGAATTGTCGCCAATAGTTGTCCCACGGCTGGCGCAGGCGGCTCTGTCACGACTGAGATGGTTGAACCCCTTGGACGATCCCAGCCCCCTCTGCCTCTGCCCCATCCGCGGGTCGAGTCATGTCTGCGTCCTGTCATGATAGTTGCGAATGATGTTGGGGATTGTCGGAATAATAGGTAGCGATGTCTGCTTGAGAGGTCGATAAGTTGAGGTTGGTAGCGGATATGAAATGTGGCTAGGGAAAGGGAAAGCAAGGGGCAGGTTTTCATTGCTGGATTAACACTTCCTTCTGCCTAAATGGACCCCTTCATGATTCTGCCTTGAATCTCCTCTCCATTGGGCACTGGGTGTTTGCCGCTTTGCGGCGCAGTGACTGATTGGAAACCGTCGCAAGCACGCTCACAGCCTTGTCCTGCAACCGCTGAGGAGGAATCAGCCTTCAACAGTGCCGCCTGCGCTGGAAGCGATATTTATACAAGGACCGCCAGGTATATCAATCCTCTCTTGCTCTTTTAGGGTCCGCCGACTAACCGCTCGTCAGGGAGGAGAAAGCCCTTCGTTGGCGCTCTTATAGCGAAGGCACTGTACAATAACAGCAAAGAGACAATGCTTGTGATGTGCTATACGAATCATGCCCTGGACCAATTTCTCGAAGATCTGATGGATATCGGGATCGACTCGTCGGCCATTGTTCGATTGGGTTCCAAGTCGTCTCCGCGAACTGAGGAGCTTAAGCTTTCCGCCCAACAAACCAACTACTTCTGGAGCCAAACTAGATGGAGCATCATCAATGAGCTAAAGGAAAAGGCTAGGGATATCGGTAAAGAGCTAGCCGTGGCATTCAATGTATACTCCACCTTCAAGTTGAATTACGGCACTATCCAAGAATTTCTCGAATTCGAAGAGCCGGAGTTCTTTGAAGTATTTATACCCTTACATGACCCTGATGGAATGACTCTCGTCGGTGAGTGAGGAAAAGCATGAACTGGCCATTATCTATACGATCGTTGGACTCAGGGAAAACACCATTCCCTACCTTCCCCCAGTCATCTTGGCAATGAAGCTCGCCAGGTTTGGGAGATGGACAAATCACTTCGGCAAGAGAAGATAACCTCTTGGAAGGAAAAGCTTCTGGAGGAACAAGTCATCAATGTGCAAGGTCTGATGGCCAGGCTGGACGAATGTCAGCAGAGACTCAATGAAATGTGGAGGGAGAGAACCTCCGATGTCCTGCACTCCAAACGGGTAATCGGATGCACGACGACGGCTGCCGCAATGAACGCTAGCGATCTCAGCGCAGTCTCGCCAGGTATTGTGCTACTGGAAGAAGCGGGTGAGACCTTGGAGTCGCATGTTCTTACAGCACTCGGTCCCCATACCAAGCAACTGATTATGATTGGCGATCATCAACAACTACGCCCAAAGATCAATAATTACGCTTTGTCTGTGGAGAAGGGTTCAGGGTATGACCTGAACCAATCCCTCTTCGAACGACTCGTACAGTCGGGATTCCCCCACTCCACTTTGGCGAAACAACACCGCATGGTCCCTGAGATCTCGGCGCTGGTGCGAAGACTCACGTACCCAGACCTACTGGACGGTGACGGAACGAAGTATCGCACAGCGCCCAGAGGGCTAGAGAATCGAGTCAGTTTCATCGATCATCCCCATCCAGAGGGATCTCTCCAAGGGGTTCCAGACCGGAATGACAATGGCAGCAAGGGTAGCAAGCAAAACCCATTCGGAGTGAAGCTGGTGCTGAAGATTGTGAGGTATCTGGGTCAGCAAGGTTACGGAACAGACAAGCTTGTTGTCCTTACTCCGTACTTTGGGCAGCTAAATCTGCTCCGTCAGGAATTGAGCAAGGAAACAGACCCGGTTCTGAACGATTTAGACTCGTACGACCTGGTCCGCGCTGGCTTAATGTCACAAGCAAGTGCGCAACATGTCAAACGGCCTATCAAATTGTCTACCATTGCTAAGCTATCAGTGCGTCTTTATGTAAGCCGCAGTGGCTGACTGGAGATAGATAACTATCAAGGTGAAGAGAGCGACATGGTGATTGCCACCCTCACCAGAAGCAACATGGACGGGGATATCGGGTTTCATGTCAGCACCGCAACGGTTGAACGTTCTACTGTTCCGTGCTCGAGACATCCTGATTATGATCGGAAACTCTAAGACCTTCATCAATAGCCGAAAAGGCAAGGAAGTGTGGGAGCCATTCATTGATCAGCTTCAAACCAGCGGGTATTTGTATGATGGGCTTCCGGTCAAATGCGAGCAGCATCCTCAGCGAAACGCGATACTTCAAACGCCCAATGATTTCGATGAAAAATGCCCAGACGGAGGCTGCGATGAACCATGGTACGTTGCTCTTACTCTACCCACCCAGATATAGACTAATTAATGACAGTGGAACGAAGTTAAATTGTGGACTCCACGATTGTCCTCACAGGTGTCATCAACTATCGATCATTCCAAGATGCAGTGTCGCAACATTGTGGAGTGGACATGTACTCGCGATCACAGATTAAAGATCCCATGCTTTCAGCAGAAAGGATCGTGCTACCGCTGTACCGAAGAGGATAGGGAGCGCAAGCGCCGACGACAGCGAGACCTGGAACTTGACGTAAAGAGTGAGGAGAAACGCAGGGAGTACGCTCGCCAGTTAGCTCGGATACAAGATGAGATTGCGCATGAGAGGCGACTCCAGAAAGAGGACCGCGATGAAAAAGAAAGACAGCACACTCTACGTCAGCATCGCGATGACCTTGAAGGCATGAAAAACCGTGCCCTTGAGCGCTTTCGCGTTTCTCAGGAGGCCGACAAGCTTACGGACCATGGCCCCAGTTCCAAGGAGCAGCTCTCAAAGGTCAGAGCACTCAGCCAACAGCAGTGCAGTTTGATCAATCAAAACGCACAAATAGTCCAGACATTGTGACACCCCTATCATCCACGGAGCAAGACTGGCAGTACCAGAAGGACTATGAAGGGGCTCAAAGCGAGGAACATGACAAGCTAATGGGCATGATCGGCTTGGAGAGCATCAAGGCCAAGTTCCTTACCATCAAGGCCCAGGTTGACGCTGCATTAAGACAGAACGTCGACTTCAAAGGCGAACGGTTTGGCTCGGTCCTATTGGGCAACCCAGGAACAGGTAAGTCTTGAGGTTGGCTCGGCTATCGACTTGCTAATGAGAATACTAGGCAAAACGACAGTTGCACGCCTCTACGCAAAGTTCCTCACTGCTATGGGCATTATCCCTGGTACCTATATCATAGAGACTACTGGATCTAGACTGTCCAACGGTGGCGTGTCCGGCTGCGAGAAACAGCTCAATGAGATACTCAACAAGGGCGGCGGAGTGCTCTTCATTGATGAAGCCTATCAGCTAGCGCAATCAAGCGGCCAGGGCTCACAAGTCCTCGACTTCCTGTTAGCGGAGATTGAGAACCTTACCGGGAAGGTGGTTGTTGTACTTGCAGGATATCGCAGACAGATGGAGAAGTTCTTTGCTCATAACCCGGCCTACCTAGCCGATTTCCGCATGAATTCGTATTCGAAGATTATGATGAGCGAGAACGCATTTTGGAATACCAAATCAACAAGAAGTTCAGCGGACGCATGAAGATTGAAGGCGGAATGGGAGGATTGTTTTGTCGTATCGTTGCTCGGCGAATTAGCAGACAACGAGGACACGAAGGCTTTGGCAACGCCAGGACCGTCGAAAATGTCTTCGCTCGTATTCTTGCGTATGAGCGGCGAAAGAAGATCCCCTCGGACGATCTATTGCTCACCAAGGAGGACCTCATCGGACCAGAGCCAAGCAACGCGCTCAAAAACTGTTCTGCTTGGAAAACGCTCCAGCAGATGATCGGTCTTGCATCCGTCAAAAACACTGTCCGTGCTCTTTTGGACAGTATCCAGAGCAACTACGAACGGGAGCTCAATGAGAAGCCTTTGGTGGAGTTTACCCTGAACAGGGTGTTCCTGGGATCTCCTGGCACTGGCAAGACGACAGTGGCAAAGCTCTATGGGCAAATCCTTGTCGATATTGGCTACTTGTCAAATGGTGAAGGTGAGCATTAATTTGTCTGAGGGTGCACGTCAGGATAGGGAAACTAACCCTGGTAACCCTTAGGTATCGTCAAGAACCCGGCAGACTTCATCGGAAGTGTCATAGGGGGCTCCGAGCAGAATACAAAGGGTATTCTGGCTTCTACTCTGGGTAAGGTCCTTGTCATCGATGAAGCTTACGGTCTTTTCGGAGGTGGTACTCGCGATCCGGCCGGTTCGCATACAAACCAATTCAAAACGGCAGTGGTCGACACAATAGTGGCCGAAGTCCAAGGCGTTCCCGGAGATGACCGTTGTGTCCTGCTGCTCGGATACGAAGAGCAAATGATGGAGATGTTCCAGAATGTGAATCCTGGACTGTCGAGACGTTTTTCTCCCGACAACGCATTCGTCTTTGAGGACTTCTCCGATGCTGAGATGAGGCAGATCCTTGACCTAAAGATGAAGCAGCAGGATTTCGTCACATCAGACAAGGGGCTGAAGGTTTCGATGGAGATTCTGGCTCGCGCTCGCAACCGCCCAAACTATGGAAACGCAGGCGAGATCGATATCATGCTGAACGGTGCAAAGGTTCGGCAGCAACAGCGGCGTACCTCTAAGAAGGGTAACCTTGCTCTGAATTACTTGGAGCCGCAAGATCTGGATCCTGAGTACGATCGGGGTGAGCGGGCCGAGACGAATATTCCAATGCTCTTCCAGGACATTGTTGGATGCGAATCAATCATCAGCAAGCTGGAGGGCTATCGCCAATCAGTCAAGAATATGCGCGAGTTGGACATGGATCCTAAAGAACATGTTCCATTCAACTTTCTTTTCCGCGGTCCACCAGGTAAGTCACCATAAAGACCTAGAAGACGCAATGATTAACCACCCCAGGAACTGGTAAAACAAGCACGGCCAGGAAGATGGGCAAGGTGTATTACGACATGGGCCTGCTATCATCTGCCGAAGTCATCGAAAGCTCGGCAACGGATTTGGTAGGGCAATATATCGGCCACACTGGTCCCAAAACACAAGAACTGCTGGAAAAGTCGCTGGGCAAGATCCTACTTATCGATGAAGCCTACCGACTCGCAGAAGGACCGTTTGCGAAGGAAGCGATGGATGAGATCGTGGACTGCATCACTAAGCCCAAGTTCTTCCAGAAGCTCATTATCATCCTAGCCGGTTACGACCAAGATATCAATCGCCTTATGACCATCAATCCCGGACTCACCAGTCGCTTCCCCGAGGAGCTTGAGTTTAACGGCCTCGCTCCAACCGACTGCCTCCAGCTCCTCACCAACTTGCTTAAGAAGCGGAAACTGGATCTCTTGCCCAAAGTCAGCAATTTCGACCTAGACGCATTGGAGTCTCCAAAGCCAGAATTTACCAAGAAGTTACTGAATAGATTTCACGCACTCATCCATACCGCTAACTGGGCCAATGCACGCGACGTGCAAACGCTGGCAAAGGCAATTTTCAGAGACGCTATCCGGAACATGCGCAATGACAAGAATGTCTGTGTCGGCGAGAATCTGCTTTTAAGCCACATCGATCATATGATATCTGAGCGCAATAGTCGCGAGGCACAACAGTCCAGGCCGAGAAATAATCCCATTGACCTTCTACGAGCGCAGTCTTCCGATAGGAGGCCGGCACCGCCAGTGCTTACTACGACATCTAACACGACGGCCTTCCAGGACGATGAGAATGAATGTGAAGAGCCCGCCCCTCCTGTCTTAGGAACTGCGCCAGACCATGTCCACAGAGACGACGGAGTGTCGGATGATGTATGGCACCAACTGCAGCAAGACAAGCAAGCTGCAAACACAACCGAGAAGGAATACCAACAGCTCCTCGACGAAGAACGTACCGCTGAAAAGGCACTCGAGGAACTCTCCCAGCCTCCCGCAGACGGTTCTTCCAAGCCCGACGACGAGGCCAAAAAACAACATGAACAACGCCGCCTCGAAGAACTGAGAAGGCGCGCCGAGCTGGAAAGACTACGTCGGCAGCGCGAGGCAGAAGAAAAGGCTAGACGCAAGGAGCAGCAGGTTCAGCAGAAGCTGCGACATATGGGACGTTGCGTTGCTGGGTTTCAGTGGATTAAGCAGGCGACTGGGTATCGGTGCGCTGGGGGGTCGCATTTTGTTTCGAATGAGGCGTTGGGGATTTAGATTGTATCATATCGTAAACCTTTCGTGTTTAAGTGTTTGTTCATGTAGTCTTGACTATATATACATGGACTTCTTGGTTTAGTTTGGTATAGACCTAATGTCCTCCTCTGTCTACCTGGCAGTTCATGCTCTTCTACCCGCCTCCGAAATATATAGTGGGAGCACTTGAGTGAAGATCCAATAGTCCTAATAATGGCGCTCAAAGAAGTATTTATTAATTTCCCCTTGGGAGTAGATATTAGCATGGAGGCAAACAGCGATAAGGTTCTACTTGACGATTCTTTTACGCGCTGCTTCGCGGCGCCCCTGACTATCTACCCGCCTCCAACTGCCTCGCAAAAAGGAGCTTGAACAGTCCTAGTCCTATGATATGATTCTTAATGCGCCTTTGGGCAAACTCTCATCTATATCAGATGCTGTATCATAGTCGTATAGTAGAATGGATGTTCCGGCTGGTTGCTTGCTGCATCGCAAGGACCTAGATATGTACAAGTACCCGGGCAGCGGAATCACCAACGCTCAACTAGTACTGGACACAGTTTCACGCCTTTTGTCATTGTATGAAGAACATGATCTGATGCTCTGGCCAGAAGTACTTCTTAAGAGAGGGGCGAGAAGCAGAGCAGTTGCAGGCTTTCCTAATCAAATGCTTGCTTCTTTGGCCGTGGGTTGTTCCGGTTCGCATCAAGCCCGAGAATGGAGATGGAGATGGAGACTAGACTGCAGTCAGGTATCCACTGCGGTACTCCGCGAAACAGGATCAGAATTAGATAAGAACAGGGGAAGGTGCTCTAATACTGTAGATCCATTCAAGCTGTACTTTGAATGCGCAAGCTCCGTATGGAAATACGTAGGCTACTCTGTACGCAGGACGTAGCCCTGGGATGGGCTGACGAAGCTCCAGCTCTGCAGGTACGTGTCAGACTCATACGGTAGTAGCTTTGGGGTTATGCCAGGCAGCCCTGAATCGGAAATCCTCTTCACCGGCGCAAGTCCTCCAAGGTAAACTCCGATAATCGCTCTATCCTGCAGGCTGCATGTTACACACGACATACGATATATGTAGACGATCCGATCCGCGACTCCATTGCCGTACTACAACTCCGACAGTGTAACCCGACCACGTCCATATGGAGTGCTGGTTCTCCGTGGCTCATGCAGCGTCAGCCTTTGTCCCTCGTCGATCAGGTCGATCAGGCCGATGTGCACCTCCGTCAGTATGCAGAACGGCTAGCAGCATAGGTGGAGATGGTGGTACCATATCAGATGAAACAGGTCGGATGCACTGCGCTACATCTGGGGGTATGATATGATAGATAAGATGCGCTAGCGTACTCCGTACGCCGGGCCGGCGAGCTTGACTGCATTAGTACCCGTCTGATCATCCAACTCAGGAGACACAGCCACTCCTCGTGGTGAATTGGAGGTGAGGGTGGGACAGGGGTGTCACTGGTACAAGAAGTTGATAATGCGCGTAGATCTGGTGGTTGCGGTTAACTGCAGGCTGGGAATGAGGCGCTCCAGAGGTTGAAGTGGGCAGTTTGGTAGACGGGGATCAGCTTGAGTACTTGCAAGCTTGCAGCTAGCTGGGCCAACGGTCTTGGGTAGATCCCGGTCCATATTAGGATGGAGTATACCTTTGCAGTCCGATGGACCTTGGGACCCATGGAGAGGATGCAGGCTGCAGAAGTCCTTGATGACGCCCGCCCGGGCCAGGTCGGATATCCCGTGCGGAAGAGTGCGGATCGTAAAAGGTACAATGGCCGGCTCCACAGGAAGGCGGCTTGACAAGTTAGAGTAGATTGGCGAGCTTGGAGCCGTCATACTCATGCCATTGCGCGCTGTTGATTGAGCTTCCTTCCCGTCGGGGTTGATGTTGCCGGGCCGGACGCGATTACAAATGATGGCGGCCCAGGCCCTGGAGGCTGCCGCGAGGACGAGCAACTTGGATTGCTTCTGGATGGACTGTTGTGTCGGTGTCCACATGGAGTCATGAAATCTACAAGGTCGGCTCTGACTGGTCCGTCTCATGCGAGTCACTCAACGCTGCGCGCTAAATCTGCACCTTGAGGAATCAGGTAAGGATACCCCTTCCGAGGTTCGCCAATCGCGATGCATTTGGGGGTGTCGTGGGGTGGTTGACATTCCGTTGGGATGGCACAAATGCGTGTCTCAAGCCAGCATTCTTGTGGTCGTTGACAGCGGCAAAGCGTTTCGCTGGTGGTCAAAGGGGCGAACCATTTTATCTGACACTCGAGATGGATTCCGTCGCTCAGATCGATAAGACGTCTTGTATAGATTAACTCTGCTTCGTCGATTGGGCCGTTCGGAGTATACTGTGGAGCGGTTGGCTCCCATCAGTCCACTTGGTCTCTGCAGCGGGATCGACGGACGATGGCGACTCTGCAGTGCACTGTCGCAATAGTGCAGTGGTTGCCGGAGTTTCCCCGCCAGGGCCCCAGTGGCATTACTGGAGAGCATGGCATACTTCATATTCTGGTCCCAGAGGCCTCGGGGGAAAGTCCGAGGATATCATCTGCAGGACACTGGCTCCAGGCTAGACGTCATAGCGTGGGATGCCGCAGTTCGATCAGCCACGCTTGTCGATGGCAACGGGGATCAACGCTGTTGCGGCAGCCTTGGACCTGAGCTTGACTGGAATTTTTACTGTCGCGGCCAGTCGGAGGAAAAGTCCGGGGTAAGCGACGGTCGCGATGCACAGTGGGCACATGAGTTGGCGGAGGACTCAGTTCCGGGTGTGAACTGTGAACAGCAATCAAGCCCGGCTAATGCACCGTGGCTTGGGCTCGTTTCCAGAACCTCGAGCGCAGCCAGGGACGCTCGAATGATGAGGAGCTGATTGGCAGTCGCTCTGGCTCCACGAAAATCCCCCACAGTCAGGAGAGTTGCCCCAGAATCCCCACAGCTTGGAAGTTGGTCCTTGGCCAGCTCTCGCCTCTCGCACTCTCTCATATTTTAGCCGACTGGGACAATGCGGCGCCAGCCGCCACCCATCAAGCAGTGGCTCGGTCGCTCGTGGCCTTCCCCAGTCGTCAGGAACGGTCTGCCCACCAGCCTGCATCCTGGGTTGGAATGGCCTCCAGTGCTGCAAACGGTCAACGCACCTGCATCTGATCCCTCAACCACGGATGGACAGCGAAAGCGCGACAGGATGGCGACCCCGGCTACGTCAGATCCTGACTTTCCAAGTCCAAGCTCGTCTCCGTACATCTGCAGTCTTGCCTGAGACCAGACACGAGTGAGGTGCTCCTTGTCGCAGATTGCGCCTCGGCTGGCAACGGTCGTATTCCGCACTGCGACTGCGCTTGCAGGACGCACTGTACAGAGTAGACGCAGTTAATTGACTTGCCAGATGTCTGGAGGTGCACTGGTCATTCACAATCACCTTCTCTGTCCTTCGCATCACGACTATTGATTTTCTTTGTCTCGTCTTACCCGTACCAGTCTTTCAACTTCCAAGGCAACGGCGTGTGCAGTGGTGAGGTGCGTGGCGGTAGTGCATCATCCTCTCGGATTCGGATTGAGTTTCAACAAGGCATCTGATTGGCTGGCACCGTGGCACAGACCCAAGAGTAGCTCCCCCCGTGACTCCGGTGTGGGCCCAGCTCTTGGCTCTGACCCAGTCGTGGCCCATGCTCTGTGCTCCTCGGCCCACAGTGGAGGCGACGATTGGCCAGCAGCTTCGTGGTTTATCCCGCGACAGTCACCGGGGTAAGCGTCCCGCTAGAGGTACGGAGGTAACGTGCTGCCGGCCGTAACTCCTGCTCGTTGAGAGCTCTCTCTCTCTGACACTGAGCCTCGCAGTCACTTCTTCTTCTTCCACTGCTGGCACCAGACGACAACCGCCTCTCTCTTTCTCTCCATCTTGATTTCGTCCCATTTTCTTAGTCTTCGGCCTCGTTTCTTGTGTTCTTCTGTTCGAGATCATTGTTCCTGGCTCTTATCACCAATTGACCCTGATTCACGCTATCAGTACCCGGCTATCTCTCCGGCTTATCCACTGCACTCGGGCGATGTTTGCTTGATTGCCGCCATCTCACACTGTCGAAGCTGCTCCCAGGCTCTCCGGGGAACCAGCGCATACAGAGAGAGACTGCAATTCAGTCTGTTGGTGTACCCATGCCTCTCCCCTGGGTCCTGAAACCTGGAACCTGGACCCCCTGCTGACTACTCCGACTTGGACTCCAGGAACACCTCGCCACATCCCACCTCGCCCTGCTCTATTTCATCTGCCGCCCGTCGTCTTTTTCGATCAAACGGAGCCTATTCTTATTCCTGACTCTCGAGACCTTTGTTCAGACATATCATACTGTCGCTCACGGTGTCAGTGCTTTCCTCGCCTTCTCCGACTACCCCAGCTTCCTCCCGTTTACTTGACCCACTGCCCAAGCTTTCGTCTCATCGTGGCAATGAGTTCCTCGATCCGATCGCTTCCGCCTCAGCCATTCTAAACAACTGGCTAATCTCGATTAGTGAACCGAATAAACATCGATGCTGGCCTGAAATCACGGTCGCAGTGCAATTCCGAGCTGGTACAGCAACTTGGGTCGGTACACAATCAGCGACCACGTCTTTACACTTTGAAAGCCAGCGTTGAGCTGGACGAGCCTCCCCATTTTCGATCAGATATAGCATGTTGATAGGCCCGATGGTGGACCAAAGCTTGGGCACTAGCCCAAAAATGGAGGATCTTTCCAGTATCTCGGAGGTTCCTGGAGACGTTAATGGTACGTATTTGGGTTTCATCCGCTCTGGATCCAGCTCCTAATAACCTAGTAGCATCCAAGGACAATTCCAAGAAGGATCCCGTCGCTCCGGCCAACATCCCCCCTCCTAAAACTGACAAACCACGTCCCCATGGTTGTACGACGTGCGGTCGGTCGTTCGCTCGACTAGAACACCTCAAGCGTCATGAGCGTTCTCACACGAAAGAAAAGCCATTTGAATGTCCAGACTGCTCGCGGTGTTTCGCTCGCCGAGATCTTCTTCTCAGACATCAGCAAAAACTGCACATGACAACAACGCCTTCTTCGCGGCCCAGGAATGCTCGCAGAGAAAGCACTGGCGCTGCTGGGACGGGGGCTGGAGCTGGAGCAAACCGTGTTCGCAAGAACTCCATAGCCAGTAACTCTAGTAATATGCGCCCGCGGGCGAACACAATCAGTCACATTGAGGGTGCCGCGATCGGGATCGCGAATAACACCAATCCCGTGTCCGGAGCGGCTGGCCATTCTGGCGGCCATGCCTACCATCCCAGTCTCGGTTCTTCCGTGGGCTCGAGCATCGACTATCGGGGCTACTCCTCCACCCACCAACCTGCTGTCAACGGGCTAGCAAAACTAGAAACGCATGGGCTTCCCGTGGACCTTTCGGGAGGCTTGCGCACGGCGCCGGTCTACGGCAGCTTCGACTTCAACATTCCAGACTTCATGAGCCACGGAAGCACCATCAATCCCGCCCAGCTCCACTTTGGAGGTTCCCCGCAAACCTACGGGAACGACGCCCCCTCTTCCCCGTACGGTACCCACCATATGCCTCACGGGAACGACGCTATCATGGAGGACGACTACCACTTTGATTGGATGCAGAGATTCGACCCAGCACTTCCAATGGGTAAGAACAATGAATCTGCGATCGATGAGTCCTCGCCCTCGGCCATGAGCACGGGTAGTCAGAGTGGAATCAGCGAGCCCATGATGGATGGATCCAACCAGTTCTCAATGCCGTCTGTGAGCTGGCAGTCTCAGTTTCCACCCCATCCGGCGGTTGCCAGGCAATTCTCCGATTACACAACTAGCTTTAACGATCTAGGCATCCCACCTGAAACCGTTTCTCCCAAGTCCCTGATGGCTCAAACCCCATTCGCTGAGGCCTATGCCACTCCTCCATCCATGACTTCGGTGGGCCAGCCCATGCTAGGAGCACATTCGCAGAGCAGTATGTTTTCATCCTCCATGGCAACGAGCGCAGATCCTCCTAATCCTTTCAACCTACCTTTCGCGAATAGTGCCCTACGAACTCACCATGCCCCAGCCTCAACCGATACCTTTACAGACTCCACACGACGGGCTCTATTAGCCAGCATGGCGCAGCCCGCAGGGTTCAGTCACCGCAAGTACTCTCAACCGGCTACCGAAATGATTCAATATCGCGATCTCTACTCCCGTTTTTCCAGCCTCACCTCCGCCAGTCAATTGCCTAGTACCGCAGATATGCAGCGATTTATCTCGGCGTACATTACCTATTTTCACCCTCATCTACCGTTCCTTCATATCCCTAGTCTCAACTTTCAAGCGCCCGAGTATACGAATAATCTGCGCACGCCCAGCGGCCACCTCAATCTCAGTTCCACGGGCGTTGCTGGTGGTGGGGGCTGCTTGATTCTCTCCATAGCAGCAATTGGCGCGCTATACGAGCTTGACACAGCCGCCTCCAAGGACCTATTCGAAGCCTCCAAGAAGATGATCCAGCTGTATCTGGAGGAGCGTCGAAAGGCCGATATGTCCACTGCTGTTTCTCGCTCTTCCAATACCCGCGATAATTCTGTCCACAACACTCCGCTTTGGCTTGTCCAGGCGATGCTACTCAATGTCGTTTATGGCCATACTTGTGGCGATAAGACGTCCGCTGATATCGCAAGTACTCACTGCGCGGCCTTGGTCAGTCTTGCCCGGGCGGCCGAGTTGACTCGTCATATCGATGCAAAGGACCTTCCTCAAGACTACTTGCACGCCGGCTTTGCAGGTGGCACCGATTCGCAGGGCCAGGATTTCGAGTCAGATTCCTGGGCCCAGCCATTTGGTCCTCCGAAAGAAAAGAAAGATTGGTTGGATTGGAAAATCGTCGAGGAACGTAAGAGGACGCTCTTTGCGATCTTCGCCGCCTCTTGTTTCCTTGTCTCGGCGTACAACCATGCACCTGCTTTGACCAACTCGGAGATTCGCCTGGACTTACCTTGTGAAGAAGACATTTGGGCGGCGGAATCTCCACAGGCCTGGAAGCAGATGGGCGGTCATCTCTCCTCGGAGAAGAATGTTGCTTTTTCGTCCGCGCTTACTACGCTGTTGACTGCCGGTCGTCGCGCTCAGGGTTCCGCTGCTCCCTCAGACAAGAACGGCGATCTCAGGCCGAGTTCTTTTGGCTGCTTTGCATTGATATATGCCATTCACAACTACATTTGGGAGACACGCCAACGCCATATGGGTCGGCAATGGACGACAAGGGAGACGGATGCCATGCGAGCGCACATTGAACCCGCTCTTCGAGCTTGGCAGACTGCCTGGACAACAAATCCAGTGCATAGTCTAGAGCGACCCAATCCGTACGGCGCCGGTCCTCTCTCGGCTGACAGCATCCCTTTGTTGGACCTCGCTTATGTTCGGCTCTATGTCGACCTCGGCCGCTGCAAGGAAGCCTTCTGGCAGCGAGACTGGAATGCCATGGCGGATGAGTTGGCCCGTGGAACAGACATGGACAATTCTCTAGATGGGATTCCATCCGACGTCTTAGATCCTTCGATCATCGAAGATGGGGTTTCACTGGATGCTCGGCGTGATTCAATAGCCTCTCTTGGCGTAGGGGAGCTTGCTATATCCCACACTCCTACACAAGAGCGTCCTATCCAACCCCTTCTAGGCGTTTATCGACCCGGACAAACAAAACGCGAAAGACTCCTTCGCAGGGCTGCCTGTTATGCAGCTGATTCATTCGCCATGTCTGACCAGCTAGGCAACACTTTTGCAGACTTTACTTGCCGCGAATTGCCCCTTCAAAGCGCCATGTGCACATTCGACTGCGCCGAAGTTCTTGCTGAATGGGCCACGACAGTACAGGAACGAGTTGGACCGTATCTCGGAATCTTGAGTCAGGACGACATTGATTTCGAAAAAGCAGCACAGAGCATGCTTCTCGAGGACGAGGACTGCAAGCTCCTGCAAAAGATGAGGGATATACTCGCGAGTATTGAACAGAAGATGCAGAAGGACATTCCAAATGGCGTGCCTGCCTCACAAGGGTTACCGGAGGCTGCGGAAGGCGGCTTTGGTTGTAAGATACTACTTGCAACGGCCGGTCTCCTTGACAGGGCCTCCGTATGGCCTGGTAAGACTACTCTCATTTGAACTTTTGACTTCGTACTAATTGTTGATATCTCCAGTGATGAGACTCATGGCTCGTTCTTTGGAATCTCAAGCCATGCGCTTGAAGGAGCGCGCGGAACACTCCGTCATGGGATCGGTATCATGATGGTGCTCAACTCTGAGCCGACTTTTGCTCCCACTTGAGCGCATACGCTTTACGGTACTATAACTCGTTTCCCACGGATCGGTCTCTTCGTTTGCATTGGCTCGTACACTGAATGTTTGACTTAACCTGCCTTCTGATGACATGATTTATGATGAAGGAACGTCTTCTTTGGCCCTTTCCATAGCCAAATCCACTGGCCATCTTCATTTTCTCCGCTCTTCTGATTCTTTTTGTTCCGGAGTTCCACTTGACATCTGACTCCCATTTTCTTCGAATTCCACATGAATGTGAGGGTGTTACATCTACGAGATCGACTTGTACCATTTCCCGATGCTATACAATGGAGTTGCGTGGCTTGAACTTGATTATGTGCCATGACACGACCCGACCACCCCGTTTTCCACCAGTGATGATGGCTCTTATGACTTTGTTTTCTCTTCCTTCCAACGACTGCTATGTTTTTGATACTCGTTACAATATTGTGTTGTTTATCTGCATAGGCGCTGTGATCGGACACGCCTGATGCCTACCCTTACTCTTGACGCTCGTGCTCGTTGATCTCGCATGTATCTCAATTATTTCACTTTGCTTGACCGGGACTGGGTGGGACTCAAGCATTCGGAGCATTCGAAGCATTTAGAGTGTGCCCTGCCTGGTGCGGGCAAGGAGTTGAAAGAAAAAGGGATCACTGATGATGCATGCATACAGCCGCCTCCCACCTATGCTACCCATGATGTCCGGGCTACGATGTTCGATGCGATCTGATGTGATGGATGCCATGTACCGGACACGGGCCTCCGATATATTATATATCCATACGCATAGATACTATATACCGATTGTACATATTGAGCTAATGTCAATGGTTCCGCCGAGTTTTTGTCCAGCGTTTCTCCAGCGGTATGGTGTATCTCGTAGTTGCTTTCAATCAGGGGAAGAGTCTTCATATCGTTAAGGGATTCTATAGAAGCACCTATAGGTAATCTATCACACCATTCATTCACTTTTATCCAAATAGATACATAGATACAATAACCACCCAAGCACTCCAGAACGCACCAGCTAAACAACCAACCGCTCGAACGTATACTTCCCAACAGCCTTGCGCCGCAGATATCCCATCTCACGCTTACTACGCTGCACAACTCTCCCAGAACCCTTGAGCACCTTCGTCTTACTAACATCCTTCGCGGCCTTAAGCGACAGCGGAAGCAATTTCCCGCTCGCATCGCCGTCCCCACCTTCGCCATCCTCATCTTGCGCCCCAAACACAAGCAGATCCGCCCCGTTGAGTTTCTCATGACGAACAGATGTAGACGAGGGCGCGGCGCTGGACGCATCGTCCTTCTTCGCCTTCGCATGCTTGCGAGACCGCTCGTCACCCGTCACGCTCTTGCAGTACCGGAGATACTCCCTCAGCATACCAGAAAGCAGCGTAGCCTCTTCGACACCCGCAAGCGCCGCCGAAACCTCGCTCTTCATCTCTGCGATGAGCGCCATGTCCCTCAGCCCCGAGAGCTCGGCTTCGCTGGTGCCGAGATTCAGGTCGCCTGGGGCGATGGACACCCAGCCCGAAGGGCCGATTGCGTCGACGGCGGCGTTCATGAGGTCGATTATTGTGTTGAGCGGGAGGGAGGGGGAGGTGAGGTGTGGCGAGATTGGGGTTGGCGGGGTCTCTGTGAAGCGGGTTGCGTGGCCGCCTGTTGCGAGGGAGAGGCGGAGGTGGTGGATTGTTGAGATTAGGTCTGTGCGGGAGAGGGTGGAGCGGAGGGAGGAGGTTATTGAGGGGGTTGGGTGGGCGTGGAGGGAGAGGAGGGTGGTGTTGAGGCCTGTGAATGTTGTTTGGAGGGTTGAGGGGGTGGAGTCGGCGGAGTCGGAGGTTGTTAGGGCGTTGGTGGTGTTGTCTGTTGTTTCGCCGTTTGTGAGGGCTTTTGGGGATTGGGACTCTTGGTCTTCTGCGGGGATGGAGATTGTGCGCGCGAGGTTGAGGAAGATTTTCAGGGCGTGTGCGAGTTCGTCTGGGTTGAAGGAGGCGGGACCTTGGAGGACGTTGATGAGGCGGCCGAGGGAGGGGTCGGAGGTTTGCAGGGCCTGCGCGAAGGTGCCGATGGGAAGTTGAGGGAGGATACGGGGTTTGTAGGCGCGACGTAGGGCGGCCTCGACATTTCCGGGATAGAGGTATCCCAGGCGGTTAAGCCATTCGCATGTCAGGGTAGGCCAGATTGCGACATTCACGTTGACGGAGGAGAATGCGGAGAGCTTGTCGGTACTCGTAGTGTCCACTCCAGCGGAGAAGATGAGCGACAGTACGAAGAGGACTACCTCCAGGTTGACGTATTGTCCGGGTTCTGGAAGGGCTGGAGTGTCCCCGACGCTGAAATAGGCGAGGACAGCCCGGTCGAACCCGTTGGCATCCTTGTTCTTCGCGCATTCGCGCAGCTCCCGCGACAACTTGTTCCACTTGTCGATCTCTTCGGACGAAGTAAGACCCAGCGCCGCGGCACCGTTTGAGCGGTGCTTCTTTGATACCTCCTCCCATTGCGAAGCGGATCCAATACCACGGCCGATTGCATCAATGAGTAGGCCGTCACGCGAGCGTTTTCCGGATGAGCCGGAGACAGTTTGGGACGAGGCGAGGTCGAATGCTAGCAGAGAGTTGCCCTTTGTCGCAACCACAAGGTCGAGTTTCGCGAAGTAGTTGAGGAACGTAGTGCGTGCCTTGTTGCTAGCGGCGGATGGAAGGTCTTCGGCCACGATGCTGCGCTGAATGGACTTGTACTGCGTGTCGTACAATGCAATCATGGACTTGCCGGCTCCAATCACCGACTGGGCGGAGACACGCATCACGGATGAGAAGTTCTCTCCTTCAAGAATAAATTTCGAGGTCGCCGCGGGAGTATACTGGGAGAGGTCGAAGTTGACAAACCCCTTTTCAAAGGACAAGTTCAAGCCGGCAGAGCCCGAATGGAATTGCCAGTGCAGATTCCCCCTGTTAACCTTTTCGCCATCGAGATCGGGAAGGTTGGCCGACAGGAGATGTCTCATTTGTTGACTCTCATCGAGGCTGCGGCTGGAAGCTTCAGCGGGTATCGAGAAAATCTGAACCTTGACCTCACTGAGACTTATAGCGTCTGTGCCGACAGGGTAGGAAACAAGGAGCAAGATGGACGGCTCGTTGCCTCCTGTTAGAACAGAGTCCCCAGCAGCAAGAGAAGCTAGGTCCGGACGTCGCTTGAACAATGACTTCTTTGCGTCGTCGAATTCCAACAGAAAAGAGCCGTGAACTTCGAAGTCGCCCTTGGAAATTTCGCTGTGCTGCATGCTCCATCGCTGGGCCTCTAGATCAGGGGATAACCGTCGCACACGACCATCACGATGGATAACCAGCACGTCGAACGGACCATTCTCCTCGTCCTCCGAACCTGGCACAATGCCCACGAAGACGGCCGGGCTTGTCGAATCTTCGATGGCGAAAGTCGACGAGGAAATGACCGGAGCGCCGGTCCCACTTGCAGCACTTTCTTCAGTAAAGGCCTTGATCTCTTTCTTCAGCGCAACGAAAGTTTGTCTCTTCACACCCGAGTTCTTGGAGAGCTTCCTGCGCAACGAACATGGCGGGCAAGAAAACAACGATTGCGGAGGGACGGCGTAGGAGGTTACCAATTTCGGATTTTGGATCTAGAATAAGAAATTAACACTTTGAAGCGGGAGAAGCTCTAGTCGGACTCACATTGTAAAGATTCACTGCTTCACCGTCAACCGCGACAGCAACTTCATATCTCTTGCGCTTCTTTGCATTGGCGAGGCTATAGACTTCGCTGATATGCGTTTTTCCGGTCGAGGCATGCAGAGGGCGCGGCAACTGCGCCAGCACAGACGGCGGCTGCAAGTCCATGGCGAGAAAGCTGGTATGGAGAAAGTACCACCGGGCAAGCGTGTTGTCGCTTTGCTGAAGAAATCCACTCTATCTCGAAAAATTTCCGGTCAGACAATGTTCCGGCCCGGCGCTGTCTCCAAGCGGCGTCATGCCGTATCCGGTATAGTGTATGTTGTGGGGCTTGGTGTCCTGCAATACGCGCTCTTCGCGTTGCACTTCGTGTCTCAATTAAGCTCGCTATAACTACGGCCGAGGGGTATTCCGTACTTGAACCTCAATCCAGATCGTTCGATGAATGATATTGTGGCCCCTCCCTCCCTGAATACTGCAAGACAATGAACGTTTGCTCTTACATGGGCTCATAACCAATGGCCATGGGACAAGGAGAGCAGCGCGCCATACACGCTTTCTTCAGAAAAGGTCATTATGATTTCTCAACCATCAGTGAACATGTGCTCATAGATGCAGACTTCGGAGTATCTAAACCTGTCGTACAGCCTGTCGACATTGGCCTCCTTCGTCCCACTACCTCCCCTGAATCCAATTCCAATGGATCGCCTACACTCCAATCACCGCCCGTAGCGGCACTTGACCACGACCCCAACTCGGATCGAAGAAAGCGGCGAAAAACCAGCAGAGATGCGGATAATGCTTCGGTTGTTGACGCGGTGACGGAAGGCGAGCCAATTCATGAGGGCAGCGATCTGGCTGAAGACGGAACTACGATTGCAATTGCGGAGACACCAAGCACATCATATGCGGTCCAGGTTCCAGCCCTGCCTCAGGGAAGTGAACCTCTGCAATCGGTTACCGGCAGCTCTGATTATACACCTGTCGATCCTGGTGAGAAGAAGCAAAGGGTGGTCAAACTGAACGCGAACGGGAAGCTTCTCAGTTCCCCGGTTGCCAACAAGTTTGCCGATATGTCTAAGAGAAAGAGTAGCAGGCGCGGAAGGCCACCGGCACGGCTTACCGAGGACGTGGAAAAGAAGCTTGTCGTGATCAAATATATAAATCAAGACGGGCACTCGCAAAGTATAGGGCAGCAAATTAACGAGATTCTTAGCGGAAGGAGGAAGCATACTACCTCAAATCATCCTGCCCGTCCGACCACTACCATTCCAGCAGCAACCACGAGACAACCACCAAAGGCTACCCATCCATTCTTCCTGAAGAAGGCAGCACAAAAGCCGGACGTCTCTTCCACTGACCCGCCACCTCAAGATCTGCCTTCCACACCCGCCGATGAGAATGTCACAAGCAAACCTAACCCAGCTCTATTACCACCATTCTCCAAGCCAGCATTATCTTTCAAACATGTCTTTGCAAAAGTTCCGGATCCCGTGCACCCACTTTGGCCTCCGTCTGGGTTAACTCACGTGCGAGATCTTAATCACTCGTACGACTCGGGCGATGACCGCCAAACTTTCGAGACAGACACCAGGAAATCAAAGACACCTGCTGTACAGGTTAGTGACGAAGAGAGCGTGCTCGCTTCGATCAAAAGCTCGGCCAATGTTGACCGGGCTTTGCGTGAGCCACGTCAACAGGTCATCAGTGGACGAGTGCTGCAGGCGAACATAGCCAAACGATTAACGGGACAGCGCGCAGCTTCTGATACAGGAGAGACCCCGGCATACGACGCGTTTCATCCAGCTGTTGCCAAGTTATACGCGTCTTTACCCACTTCACTATCTGCTTTTGATCGTGGAGATTACGAGGCACAGATCTGGGCGCATAAATATGCGCCTACCTCCGCACAACAGGTTCTTTGCGCGACCAAAGAAGCTCTGATGTTGCGCGATTGGCTAAACCATCTCGTTGTCTCGAATGTTGAGATGGGCAATCCCTCGAAAGACAATGAGAGAGCTAAACGGAAAGAAGAGAAGAAGCGCAAAAGACGGAAGAAAGCGGATAAACTGGATGGATTCGTCGTCGACAGCGAAGATGAGTATTCCGAGATGGGTGAGATCTCCGGTTCTGACGATGAATTGGCCGGTGATGTGACGACGGTATCCAGCAAGCGAACCGTAATTCGAACAGGAGATTTGACATTCAGTCTGAGGTCCAACAATGAACGTGGTCGTATGACCAATGCAATTCTCCTCAGCGGTCCTTCAGGATGCGGTAAAACCGCCTCTGTTTATGCAGTGGCGAAAGAGATGGACTTCGAGGTCTTCGAGATCAATGCAGGCTCCAGACGCAGTGCGAAAGATATCTTGGATCGGATTGGCGACATGACTCAAAACCACCTTGTGCATAACTTGCACGACAAGGAAAATCGGAATCAGGCTTCCGGCACAGAGTCGCAGGTTGATGAGCTGGAAGACGCGAAGCAGAACAAGTTAAAGGGATTCTTCAAATCTGCTTCGACGGCTAAGAAACCTGGCAGGCCAAAGTCAAAGGCTTCTGCGAAGGAAAGCACCGTACAAGCCCGAAGCCAGAAACAATCTTTGATCCTTCTAGAGGAAGCGGACATCTTGTTTGAGGAAGATAAGCAGTTCTGGTCCGGAGTCCTTACTCTGATCAACCAGTCGAAGCGCCCAATAGTTATAACCTGCAACGATGAGAGCCTTGTCCCGCTTGATGATATATCCTTCCACGCCATACTTCGGTATAGGGCTCCATCACAGGAACTGGCGGTCGACTACCTTCTCCTGATGGCTGCGAATGAAGGCCACATACTCGAGCGGACGGCGATTGAGAAACTCTACTCGAGCACCGGTAATGACCTTCGAAAATCCATAATGGACTTGAATTACTGGTGCCAGATGGCCGTCGGAAGCGAAAAATCGGGCCTAGATTGGATGATTGACCGATGGCCACAAGGTATAGACCTTGACTCTAATGGGGACAAAATGCGGGTACTCAGCATGGATACATACGATGATTATATGGGCTGGTTCAGTCGGGATGTTTCCATCAGCCCCGGCCTGACGACCGAGATCGAGCTTCGAGAGGAAGCTCTGCACTGGTGGCAGTTGAGCTTACAAGAGGCCGATGACATGGAGGATATGCAGCGTCGACCTTTCTCAGAACAGAGCTCGGGCATGTCGAAACTCGAGCTCCTAGAAAACCTGCATCATCAGTCCGAGTATGCGGAATCACGAAGTGTCTTGGATGTTCTTACTGCGTCTTGCTCCCTGGATGCCAAGAAGGTACGGCTATCACCACATTTTCTCCAAACAGCTCTAACTCCTCCAGGACGCGATTGACACATCTGTACCCCCGATCTGCGAAAAGCAAAAGCTAAATTTCGTCGAAGGATATCACCTATTACAGGCTGACCATGTCCCCGATTACACCACTCTAACCTTGGACGTTGGGAGTACTTTCCAGGCTCTGGTTGGAAGAGCATTCCGCCGAATGGATGAAGCTGATTTGAAGGATATGCTAGCTACGAACTTGTTCGAAGCTGTCTCCAAGCCCAAGGCAGCTCAGTCTCATGACAAGGAGCTTCTAGACGCGCTCATGCCAGCCATGAAGCCCGATTGCGAAACTCTACCGCCCAGTGGGAGCGCAGAGCTTGCGTTCGAATATGGCCAACGATCAATCGCCGAAGATGTCACGCCCTACGTTCGATCAATAGTTGCGTTTGACCTGCGTCTCGAGAATTACCGCAGGGAACTCAGCGGCCTTCTGTCTGGCAACGGGAGAGGCACGAAACGAATGCGGACTACTCGCGCTAGTCGAGCAGCGCTAGAGGGTGGTAATAAGGCGGAAACTCGAAGGGAAAGATGGTTCTCCTCGGCTTTGAATGTACAACGAATTCTAGCCACGGGCAACAAGGAATGGCAAGATCTGCTGGTTCAGAATGGATATTTCACCGTGCCTGTGGCAGGAGAGCAGGCGGTCGGGGATGATAGTGAGCATATATCAGCAAGCGCAAGCGATTGATGTATATAGCGAAGTGTGACCGTATATAAATAGTATAGTCGCCCATACAATAATGAATGATACCACTACAGTTGTTAAAAGTACTCGTAAGTTGGAGATGCCAAGCCTCGGATTGACTAGTCTCCGCGGTCAGCCACAACATCGACATCATCCCCTCAAAGCACTCGCGTCACCCTTTCCCTATCATCACAGGGAAAGCAGGTCTTCTCTCTCAAGCCTTTCAGTATCTTTGGACTCCGTTACTCTCAGTCGCCGTCCGGTCAAATCGAAATTGGAACTATTAATCCTCCCCAGGCTAGGCTTGTCCGGAAGTCCTTCTGTCCGTCTCTTATCACCTCCGACCGAGCTCCGTCCCTCGCATCCTTCCTTCACCGTACTGCGCATCGCTCATCCTCTATGTCCCTGTTCGGCACGTCGCCGGACGATTCCCCGGCGGCTGATTCAGCTCGGAGATCGAAATCCTCTTTGTTTGCCGACGAGGCTTCGTTTGGCACTGGCGGCGCCAACTTCGGCAGCTCCTCTCTCTTCGCTGATGACGACAGTTTAGGCTCACCGTGGAGTAATAACACTGGCAAACGGACGTCCAAGCAACAATTGGTCAAGTCTTTGTTACCGGACTCAGATGTTCCCGAAAGTTATGTCGACGCGTACGACCTCGTGCTGAGTGCGGGGGAAAGAGCGGGAACGGGCGTTGGCTTAACGACCGTTCGAGAACTATTGTCTGGTGGCGGACTTTCAGCGACGGACCAGGCCAAGATCCTGAATCTTGTTCTCTCTGGCGATACTGACAGGCATAACGGGCTCGGTCGCGGCGAGTTCAATGTTCTATTGGCTCTGATAGGGCTCGCGCAGGAAGGCGAAGACCTTACTTTCGATACGGTGGACGATCGTCGTAAGAGTACAAGCTTCCCGCATTTGCGCTTTTAAAGCAGTGGAAACTAATAGACTTGCAGAGCTGCCGGTACCGAAAAGCTCGTACTTGGATGGGTTGCGCGCAAAGCAAGAGTCCGCCATGTCTCCTTCGCATGAACACCCCCGTACTCCTCCCGCTCCCTCAGGTCCCGTACAAGAACCGAGCCCTTCTCAATCACGCCGAGCTAGAGGAGACTCCATGGGTGGCCTTGATGCAGATCCTTGGGGTAGTCCCCAGCTTCACCGTGGCCATGCTCACGCTCAGAACGAATCCGAACGCGGCATGTTGAATGGTTATGGCAGTGCTCGATCGGCGACGAACGCCTGGTCCAAAACTGGCGATTCAGGGAATCCGGCTGAGCCCTCTGACACTGCTCGCACTAACGGCCGACCTGAAGCTCGCAGCTCCAACAGCGCCGAGTTCGGGTGGGGGGATCATTTCCCACAATCTTCAGACGGTAGTGGTCTTGGGGGCCCAGTTCGGCCCAATTTAGGAGATTTTGGACGGTCAGGTAGTGGCCACGGCGGCTCGAATTCAGGTCGGCGCTCGCTAAACATTGACCGGGCCATCAATAATCATGTCAAAGAAGTAGTCACGGTGACGCTACTGCAAGAAAAGGAGGGCTTGTTTATGTTTCAGCATCGCAATTATGAGGTTAAATCGGCACGTCGGGGGAGTACGGTGGTTCGACGCTACAGTGATTTTGTCTGGCTTCTTGATTGTCTTCACAAACGATACCCATTCCGTCAGCTACCTTTACTTCCACCAAAACGCATTGCAGGTAAGTGCAAGAAAGCTTGTCACAAGCTCTCCTCTTAAGCTTACTCACTCTTTGAAGTCAATGGCACTCACCTCTCAGCGGATTCAAATTCATTTCTCGAAAAGCGTCGGCGCGGCCTTGTACGATTCACCAATTCCCTTGTCTCACATCCCGTCCTCAGCCAGGAGCAGCTTGTGGTCATGTTCTTGACGGTACCTACGGTATGTTACTTTTCGCCTCGGTTGACCGATGGCTAACACTATGGGTAGGAGCTTTCAGTATGGCGAAAGCAAGCGACGATATCCGTGCAGGATGAGTTTGCAGGTCGAGTTTTACCCCCGGATCTAGAGGACTCCCTGCCATCCACCCTTATAGACACATTTGACACTGTTAGGAGCGGTGTCAAACGCTCGGCGGAGGTATACATTAATCTCTGCACGCTTCTCGAGCGGCTAGCCAAGCGCAATGAAGGTCTTGCGGCGGATCACCTGCGGTTTTCGCTCGCTCTTCAGTCCCTAACAGAAATGACCAGGGACACATATGCGATAGACACCAACGACGTACCCTTACTGAACGAAGGAATCAAAGCCACGGCAAGACATCTGTCCGCCAGTCAAAGTTTGCTAGAAGATGAGGCACGGGCATGGGAAGACGGGATGTTGGAAGACCTAAAACGCCAACGGGACAACCTTGTCAGTGTACGGGAGATGTTTGACCGACGGGACCGGCTTGCCCGTAACAACATTCCCCAGTTAGAGAAGCGAATCGAGACCAATGAGCGGAAGCTCCAGGATTTACGAGCGCGGCCTCAGGGGACGGTCAAACCTGGCGAGATCGAAAAGGTTGAGGAGTCGATTTTCAAGGTTTGTTTCGCTCCCTCGATGCTCTAGACGGTTAGTTGACACATTCTGTAGGACAAAGAGTCGATTGTACAACAGCATGCACGCGGGGTTTTCATCAAAGAGTGCATCCGCGACGAGCTTATCTATTTCCAACAGACCCAATATCACATCAGCCGGCTGCACCAGGATTGGAGTCAAGAGCGAGTCAAATACTCCGAGTTGCAGGCTGACAACTGGCGGTCATTGGGTGACCAGGTGGAGGGGATGCCTCTGGGAGACTGATCCCTGGGTGTTGGGTGTGAGACGAGGCTGCAACCCCGTGCTTGGGGGTTTCTTGCATTCGCTATTGCTTTTTCCGCATCTATGTTTGCTGTTCCTTTGCGCGTGCTAGATTCTGCTCTTTTAGCCGAGATATATATCCATTTATCTTCATGGAATGCATTATTTGCTCTTTTAGTTTCTGCGATTTTGGGAGAGTCATATGCGATGCCTGCATATGACTGTGCTACTTGGGCAGGTTGGACGCTTATGCAGGTTGACTGCAGGAAGAGCGTTGTAACTAGTGAGGAACTTCAGCTGCCTCTGAGCCTGGGTCGTATCTCGGGCTCGGATTAGAATCGGCTCGCCCGGAGGCGTGGAATTTCCCGATAAACTGGATCCCGTGACGACCATGGCGCCCGACTAAGTCTAGCGGCTGGGCCGGCCCACATAGAGCGGGTCCATCTCCGATTCTTCTCCAATGAAATGGGGAAGATCTTGGCAGCCTTGCAAGGCTGTTGAGTCCGAGTTATGGAGGCAGAACTTGGGGAAAGCCTCGGGAAGGGATATTCAGGGCATAAAGGGGCAAGGGACCCGAGCGGTGATATGTAGGATGTCAGTGGCATGTGCAACCATGTGGCAATCTGTCAGGACTCGAGGGCAGGAGGCAATGCAGAAAACAACCCGGGCTTCAGCAGGGCACAGCGCCCAGACCTTAGGCGGCATGGGCCTCAGCAGTGCGTCATCCTGCTTCGTACATAGATGCAGAGACGAGTAAAAATAGGGCAAGCCGACAACCTCCGGGGCCGCAGGGCCCTTCGTGAGCATTTCAACTCAATAAGATTCTCAATATCTTTTGGCGCCGCAAGAAGATGCACAATGGCTCTCCTCCGGAGTATTATTGAAACCTCTGCTTGCATTACGTCGGGATGAGTTTGGCTGGAAGAGCGCCAAGCCAAGAACAAGGACGGTCGGAAACGGCACGCCGCTCGTTTTCCTCTCCTCTCCTCCCCATCCCCATCCCACGCCCCAGAAAAATAAGCAATTGGGCCGATTCCTCTGTCCTTATTCGCCAGTGGCAGTCTTGGACAAGACGCCATGCTCCCCTCTTGCCAATCTCGCGCTCGGTCGTGGTCTTGGTCTTCGCTTCGTAATTTTTCGGTCGTTCCTTCCCATTTTCGGACCTTCCCAAGTCCCCAGCGCCCCTGCTGCCGAGACGCTCTCCTCTCTTGTCCTGCTCTTGTCCTCCTCTTGATTTCTCTTGATCTGTCTTGACTTCACTATCGTCTGTTTAAGCCAGCGCTCTACGTCATTCGTTTGAATACTTCAGAGAACTGGTTATCTGTTACTCATACATTCGCTACAACCACATTTACCAACAAGGTAAGTCTCGTTGCAGTTGCTCCGCTCACTAGTCGATCGCCCCTCTGCCTTGACCTTCCCTTATAAGTCGCTTCGCCTTGCTAATGATTCTCTCGTCCGTCTAGCATCTCTACCTCCCGCATCCATTCACTCGGATCCCTCCGCGAGAAGGGATGCTCACCTCCGCAATCGCCTAGTGCTCGCCGCGACTCTTGTTCGATTTTGTCGGTTCGGCTGGTACTTTACCTTTGCGTTTACGACCAGAGAAGGCGAAATCCAGCGATAAGGCTGGAACTGCGAACACTCGATTACTTAGGAGTCGGTATAATCTGCTATCACCATGGCGTGGGATCACCTCGATATTGATAAGCCCCACCTGGCGTACATGATCCTGGGAGGCTTCACGGGGCTGTTTATGCTTTGCTCGCTCTTCGTCAAGGAGAAACTGTATATCGGCGAAGCAACTGTCGCGACCATATGTGGTATCATCTTCGGTCCTCATGCGGCGAACCTTTTCAACCCCATCGAGTGGGGCAATGTGGACAAAATCACCCTCGAATGCTCTCGTATTGTCCTGGTTGTGCAATGTTTTGCGGTGGGTGTCGAGCTACCAAAGGCGTATATGGAACGCCATTGGAAGTCAGTGACACTCCTGCTTTTACCAGTCATGACCTGGGGCTGGTTAATCACGAGTCTTTTCATATGGTGGTTGATTGAACCACTTACCTGGCTTGAAGCTTTGGTATGCGCAGCGTGCGTCACGGCCACCGACCCCGTCCTTGCTTCTTCTGTTGTCGGTAAGGGTAAATTTGCCAAGCGTGTTCCGAGGCATTTGCGAGATCTTTTGTCTGCGGAGTCAGGCTGTAACGACGGAATGGCATTCCCGTTCATTTATCTTTCGTACTACATCTTGCATTACCGCCCAGACGCGGGCGCTGTCTCGCTTCATTGGTTCTGCATTACCATCCTGTACGAGTGTGTGTTCGGAGCAATCTTCGGTTTTACAATTGGCTATGCGGCTCGCCATGCAATCAGATTGGCCGAACGCAAGCAGCTGATTGACCGTGAAAGCTTCCTCGTGTTCTACTTTGTGCTCGCCCTTTTCTGCGCGGGTTCTGGAAGTCTTCTTGGTATGGATGATTTGCTGATCGGCTTTGCTGCCGGTGTTGGCTTCAGCAACGACGGTTGGTTCACGGAGAAGACGGAGGAGTCGCATGTGTCCAACGTCATTGATTTGTTGCTCAACTTGGCCTACTTCGTGTACCTCGGAGCCATCCTTCCCTGGGCTGATTATAACAACGCCGACCTTGGCCTGAACGCCTGGAGGCTGGTTGTCATTGCGATTCTTGTCATTTTATTCCGTCGCATTCCGATCATGTTGCTTCTCAAACCGATTATTCCGGACGTGAAAACATGGCGCGAAGCCCTGTTCGCCGGCCATTTTGGTCCCATCGGTGTCGGTGCCATTTTTGCTTGCATCTTGGCCAGGGCCGAACTTGAGAACGGCTCTACACAACCCGTGGTGTCCGACCAATTGCCCAAGCCCCATACGCACAATTATTATGTTGTGCAAATCATTTGGCCGTTGACGACGTTCATGGTCATTTCATCCATCCTGGTTCACGGATCGTCTATCGCGGTCTTTACTCTAGGGAAACGCATCAACACCCTGTCGATTACTCTGTCCTACACCCAGGCCAACGAAGAAGGACCGTCTTGGATGAACCGCTTACCGCGTGTTCAGTCATTGGCTAAAGGCTCAATGTCTTTCCGCAAAGCTGAAGACTCTGAAGGATCGTCGCCCAATGAACCCGAATACCCTCCTGGAACTTTACCGCCAATCGGCCTTCCTGGCAACTTCCTGCGCCGGGTACAGGAAGATGATACTGGTTCGCCGACTGGCAGGGTCTCCAGCCGCAGGGGTCGGAGACGCCGCAGAAAGAACGACGGGGCTGGAGGTCCGATCAGCCAGTCTGCCATTGCGCCTCTACGACCATCGGAGGTGGAATCTGAAGATGCTGAGAAAGCTCTCGGAGATACAGGATCGTCGACACCTTCGCCCCCTCCTGCCAAATGGCGTGAGGCTACGGTCAACGTTTATGTCGAGGGCTCTGATTTAATCTTCGAGGATCGGGATGGAAACGTGTTGAAGACTGAGCACGTCGGCCACATGTCGTCTGAAGAGCAGAAGCGCCATGTCGAAGCTGAACGATCCAAGTTGAACTTGGAATTCCAAAAGTCACCCGATGAGGCCAAGCCGGAGGGCTCTGAGCAGCAACCCACCATCGGCGATCAACTCGAACAGACAGTTAGTGACAAAGCAAAGCGTCGACGATTTGGTCAATGGCTTGGCTTCGGCAAAGACCGGCCTGAGAAGACGGCAGAAAAGAAAGCTGAGGAGGAGAATACGGAGAAGGGCCAGGAGAAGACCGCTGAACAGACCGACCCTAAGGCCGCCAAGAGCAAAAGTCGCTCTGCCCATGCCTACCAGTTCGGTAACACCATCATTGTCGAAGACGCAGATGGTGAAGTCATCAAGAAATACTCCATTCCATCAGGTGACAAGCCCGAACCCAAGGCGAACGCTCCTGTCCGACGCGGACTGGTCCGTATGGGTACATGGTTCGGCAAAGAAGGAGAGGGCGAATCGTCGCAGGCAGGGAAAAAGACGCAGGCAGACGAGTGGCTTGCTGATGATGGACTCCGGTTCACTCTTGCAAACGATGAGACTGTTGGCAAACACGGTATCAAACACAAAGGTCAGCGCATGACTAAACAACAGTTTGCCGATCAGATTAGGAATCTTGCGCCAAAGGCCCGGCAAAGTGTTGTGGAGGAGTCCGATGCCCCTGAACGTGTTAAGGATGCCGCTCGCGACGACGCTCGGCAGGCGGACGAAAGGGAACGCCGTGCATCTACCGCTGGCCTTTCTCCCCAAACAGATACGCCCCATGATGATTTGGAATCTGTCAGTAGTGGCAGTGATGACGAAGCGGATTCTGAACAAGTGCCCGGTCCCAACGTTGCCGAGACGTTAGCTCGTATTGCCGCAGGAACCGCCGCCGATGAGCGACGCAGGGACCTTAGCCCAGTTGCTTCACCTCGTCAACGGAGCCCTCGTTCACGAAGAGACTCGGAAGATGACGGCACCGAACGAATTCCGCCATCTCAGCTCCGCGAAGCCGCTGGATTCCCGCCTCCGCCGCAAGAGGCTGACCTAGATGACACTGGGGAAACGCCAGCTGAACGTCGACGTCGTCTGGCTGCCTTGGGTGAGTGGCATAACTCAGATTCGGAAGTTGGTGACTCGGACGCTGTCGAGTCTGCTAATGAGAGCGACGCTGGCTCACGGAGGCCACGCGGTAGAATCTCCTTTGCCGATGGGACAAATCTTGCGGCAGGGAGCACCTACGACCGTGAGGGCAACGGGCTGGGCTCGTCGCGGTCACGGTCTGGGCGGAACAGGCCAAGGGTAGCCTGGGGCGGCCAAAGAGGCCGAGGCAGTTAATTTACTGCGGCTGGCAGGAGCACAGAGGGAAAAAGCAACCAAATATTTGTTTAGTTGTAGCGTTGGATGCCATAGCATTAGTACATATTCTAGACACTGCCTAGTTACTGTCTATAGAGACTTACCTGTCATCGCTAATCATAAGAACTTCTTTCACTTCCACAAGATCTCCAAGTAGTCATGTACTGATGCTATGGTAACACTGCAAATAAGCCGATATTTGGTTGCCTTTCCTCCCTGGTCCTGCCAGCCTCAGTCAACCGCCTTGACCATCTTCGCCGCCCACGCTATCCCCTGGCCTGTTCCGCCCAGATCGTGACCGCGATGAGCCCAGCCCGTTGCCCTCGGTCGTAAGTGCTACCTGCCGCAAGATTCGCCCAACAATCAAAGCCTAGCCTCCCTCGCATCTGGACCGCCGTTGCTTCTATCCATCCTGCCCAGTTCGCCCACGATATCCAAAAAACAATCCTCCTCTTGATCCTTCGCATGCGTATACCCAGGCCTCGACCTGAAGCCCAAAACAACATCCAAAACCTCTTCAGCTTCCTCCAACCCTATTCCTTCGTTTCCTCGCCAAGCAACATGCGTATCCGGCCTGATAAGCACGAGATCCCATCCCCAGATCTCCCTCACGTGCTCCTCACCACACAAAACAACATGCTTCATCGGAAAGCTTCTCCGCGCCGCTGCGCTTACCAATGCACTTACCTCACTTACCTGTGTATCGTTGGTGATGAATTGCGTCAGCGTCCACTCGTTGCCGAAGAAGTCGTATGTGCTCGTCATTCCGTCGTTCAGGAATACGTGCGGTGCTCGACGGCCTGGCTTCGTGCTTGGTTTGTACCGGTGTACATCCCAAGCATCCTCCTCTTCCTCGTTCCCTTCATCCCCAAAGCCAGCCTCAGCCCAGATGCACGTACTCAAATCATACCGGACATCCAACTCGATGCCCCTATCCAAGATGTCCGAGCCCGACTCGGCGATCCATCGTCCCAGGAACGCCCGAGCATACTTACCCTCGTCGGACTCGCCATCAAGCACATCCCCAAACTTACCGTACAACTTACCTAACTCGACATGCTCACCGAGATGTCGGAAGGACCGACACAAGGCTCGCATCATCGTCGGCCTCCGCTCAAGGGTATAAGAGGAAAGCAGATGCTTCCCACCATACCCCTTGACCACAGCAGCGAGCCGCCATGCCAACGCCACCGCATCGACGAGCCCGCTGTTGAGGCCAAAGCCACCGTGGGGAGGAGAAAGGTGAGAGGAGTCTCCGGCGAGGAAGACGAGGAGGGACGGGGTGGAGTAAGCAGAGGTGATTCCTAAGCTGGGCTGCCATAAGCTGCTGACCAATATTTCGTCGACTGGGATGTTCCAGGGGGTTCCGGTGAGTCCGTGACCTCCTATGACGCGGTGGATGACTTCCTTGGGATCGAGGGCGGGAATAGCGTCATGGTCGCCTGAGGCTGAGACTTCGGATATGGCTTCCGGGAGAGGGTAGTGCGCTGTGAATGTATGCTTGTCGTCTTGGTCGATTAAGAAGCCTGAGCCTACGGGGAAGGCATGCCAGAAGCGGGATCCGTTCTGGTCGAGGATCGAGGCCAGGGCCTTTGAGCGGAAGTGCACTAGTTGCAGACGCGCAGGACTGTCGTGGCAATCAGTGTCAGACAGAATAGGATGTATATGGAGAGAAGGGGAGGGCATACATTTTCGCACCCACCATTTTGATCCCGGCTGATTTTCTCACAGCGCTCTTCGCCCCATCACAACCAACAAGGAACCGTCCAACAACAGTCTCCTCCTTCCCAAGGGCATCCACAACCCTAACCTGCACTTTGCCCTCCAGCTCCTCATGCCCAATATACGTCCGTTCTCCCCAGAACTCAACATTCTCACAACCCAACACCAACCCCCTCAACCACCTCTCAAAGACAATCTGCGAGCATCTCTGTCCCGGCTCCGCAGGATAAGACCCATCATTCACCCACTTACTCTCCCATTTCTGCTCCTGAATAGAAGGGACACTCCAGCGTCCAAACTCCTTCCCCTTCTCGGGATGCAACGAGGTCACGAACACGCATTCGAAGCTCACGTCTTTGCCAACTGCCCCGGGAAGCGCGCGATATTGATCGGCGAGCCCCAGTGTGCGGAGAAGCTCCATGCTCCGACTATTCGTCAAGTCCATTTTGGGGTATTCGGTTGTTTTGTTCTGGGGGTCTTGCTCGATCAGGATGGTTGGGATCTGCTGCCGGGAGAGGGCGTACGCAAGGATCATTCCGACGGGCCCGGCGCCGACGATGATGACGGGGAGAGGTCCTGCTGGCATCTTGATGGTGGATGCGATCTTGATAATCTCAATGGTCCAAACAATCGTGACGGTCGAAACAATCTTGATGGTCAAAACAATCCTGATGGTCGAACAGTCTTGATGACCAAATGCTCTCGATGGTAGGAAGATTTGGGTATATATGGAAGGGAATACGAAGCGGACGATTATATACCGCTGATGGAAGACACCTGGGTAAGCCCCTGGTCTCAAAGTAAATGATTGATCAATGCTCGCAGCAACACTATCAGAGCACTCGATCCCAGTTCGTCCAAATCGGCCAATGCGACACCTTTCCGGATCAATAAAGTCAGCCCTAATGCGCCTCCAAGCCATAGTCACGAAGCTACCACCCAATAAGCTTTCTTTGTTAACATACACAGTTACACGCACCGCAGCGATCTGCGCTGAGGCGGGCTTCATATTTGAGCGTCGGAGTTGGCCTGCTCTCCGTAAGCATCCCGGACGATCAAGGTCGATGAACAAATCAATCCCACCGGATCGGCAAATCTGATCAGACCCAAAAGCTGAAACTGTGGGACTACTGGGATTGAGCCCATTCTCAGATTTTCCTTTCGCGTTCTGAGACCTCGTCTTTTGGAAAGGGCGTCCCTGAGGCTATACGTGCTTCCCTCTAGGACGATGTGAGCGCGGGCTGAACCAGTTGCTGAGTCTCCCTGTCCTATACGCTTTCATGATGACGAACATCAAGATCTAAGGTTAGGAAGATTACCTAGCTCGGCGTTCTTTCGTTATCTCTTCACAATCGAATGTCTCGCACAAGCATTCCATCTCTTGCTCTGTTCTCAAGTATTAGTGGAACAATCACCTCGAGAGTCACTGATACGGAGCGCAATCTCCATGGGGCAATGTAAGATCTATGCCCGAATCTCGCATTATGCGTATAACACTGCTTGTGCTCAGCGATATGCTTCCCTTCACTGGTAACATATCTCACACGCCAACTTGCTGCGTATACCCACAAGTCACGCGTCTCTGGATATTGCAAGTCAAGCAAGTGAAGGTACAGCCTTCCCACGGAACTATCAGATACGAGGAAGTGGACTTTGTTCCATTCGCTCCTCCCTGCTGGAGAGTTCTCCGTTGGATAAAGGATCTTCCTTTCCTCGTCGAATGAAGTGAGGATGTATGGCCGCTTCATCAAGTCTATACCAGTGGCCTCCACTACTTGGACCGTCATTTTGGATAACAGGTCAGATAATGGCTCTGCGTCTGGCACCAGATAATCATTCAGCAGAGATACTCCAGCCAAAAACCCCTTTTGGAACGCAACCTGAGATGGATATAGGTTGCTCTCGGATGAGATAGTTGCCCGCGCTCCGCTCGCGAGAAGAAGTTTGCAAATAATTAAATTTGGTTGACCGGATTCGCAAGCGTGATAAAGAGCTGTTTTGTGAAAAGTGTCAACCCTGTTTGGGTCTGATCCACATGCCAGCAGTTGTTCAGTCATAGATACATGACCATTTTTCACGGCGACATGCAAAGGTGTCTCGTTGAATTGACCTCTGCGGTTAACCAATCTGTCAACTGTGGTGTCACCGGATGAATGCAGCAGGTGAAGAAAGCCGGAAAGTAGCTCAGTCTGGCCCTGCTTGGCGATGTGGTGAAGTGGCTGGTTGTGATCACTGTCTGCAACATTCGGTCTGGCACCATATTCTAATAGCAGCTTCATGACTTCGAGATGGCCCTTGGCAATTGCAGCATTCAGGGGATATCGATTAGCTCCTCCTGGGTCGTTGGGAATGGAACCCGTAGACAATAGATACTTTACCCAAGAAATCAAATCATGGTCGACAGCAAAATATAGCAAACGTGTATTGAGTGGAAGTGTGTCTGCTAGGTGTAGCCAGCGGTGCCAGATATTTCCGCTCCTAAGTTGGTCGAGCATGTAGTTCGGGCTGACACCACGCTTGTCTGCGCAAGTGGCATGAAGTAGAAACGCATCCAGTGCGTATGACAGTAGCGCTGGATGATCCTCCAGAGTTTGTGACCCAGCTGTCTCTGAATGAAGGCTGTCAAGATCAGCTGCAGCTCGTGCCGCAGCATCAGGATCAATGGCCGATACGGAATCTTGCAGATATTGCTCTAATGCAAAACTGCGGAGAGGAACTGATGATTCCCCTCCCTCATCCGGTAATGCAGCTTCCTCCATATGACCTGAAGGGAAAAGAGACTGGACTGGGGAACTTGGTCTGTCATCATTGGGCAGTCTATATTGTTCAGTGTAATTCGAGGCCGATGACCCAAAACTCGCCTCGCTTCTCGTACGCTTGCCCATGAGTCGAGTGTTACCAACCTCTTCTCGCTGGGATACCAGAGCATCCAGTTCAGAGATGCGTATATAGCTGAGGCAAGTCTCCAAAATACTGATATCGCCAGAACCAGAAGTACATGATCCGGAACGATTTAACACTTCGAATCCTCTGCCTGAAAGGAAAAACTCCCGAACCGAGCCGTGAATTACTTGGACTGTTCTCGTCTCTCCTTCTTGGCTGTTCAGAGATCCAGCATCGCCACACATTGAGTTTCTATCATCAAGAGCTGATTCCGTCTCTTGAGCGTTGATCCCAACTAGCCCTCTGGAGATTCTTTGGAGCTGGCGCTCTAACTGCCACGCGGTCTCTGTATAATCGGAGGACTTCCGCCACTCCTTCAGGGATTTCGGCGGTTCATCACGGATCCAGGCGAGTATGTGGTGCCATTCGAGCAGTCGAAGTGGCTTCACCGCGTATACCACCCAAGAGAACAACTTTTTAGTCAGATCAAGATCGTGCGAATCGACCGTAATGAGTAGCTGTTCGAAGAGCTTTTCTAGTGCTAGTGGAGTCTCTCGAAGTCGCCTCTCAAGATATTTGAGATTCTTGCCATCATCGTGGTCCTTCAACACAGTATCAACGACAAGAACCACCCAAAGGAACACTCCGGAAGACTTGTCAACGATAGCGGCTGCCAGCTTGCGCCATTCCTGATGCTTACCGACGCCAACTATGTTGAACTTTTGTTCCACGTAGCGCCGTATGTCAATGCCATTCAACCGGTCAATCATAATTTCGGGGCAAGATTCAACACTGACTTTTGGGTACTCCCTGCTGAACAAGCAGATGCTCAATTTTGCGTCAACAGCATGCGCTGCTGTTGTCATCTCGCGAAACAAAAGAGCCAGTTCTCTCATCCCGCCGCTCTCGCATTCATCTAGCCCGTCCACAAAGAACAATGTCCTGGATCGCCGCTGAACCGTGAACATAGCCTTCAGATATGACCACAGCTCTTCCTCGCTCCATTTCGCGTCTGAGCCGATATTCTCAAGCTTATCGTCAAACGCCTTCATAAAAGTATGGAGATCACTCTCGTTTGCTTGGAGCAGCTGGTGAAGAAGGGATCCAAAAAGGTCTACCTTGTTTTTGTCTTGAGCATTAAAAGAGAATGCGGCTACCACTGCGCCCTCTTCTTGCAGCTCGTCCAAGGCTCGACAAAAAGCATGCTTCATGAAGGTTGATTTGCCTGATCCTGGCTTGCCTTTGATCCAGATAAGACCTTTGTGTGTATCCACCTGGCGTCCATAATACCATCTGCCATAGTCACGGTTGTTGAACATCTGACACCATGTTGTTTCACTCGGACTCGCTTGGATTATACGAGGAACCTCCACCCTAGAAGGGTGTAGTGAGCGAAGCCAGTTCACTATGAGCATTTTAGTCCCGGTTACTCATGACCTATACTTTAGGTAAATATGCAGCACTCACCTCGCTTCCTCACCTCCGGATAGGCTGTGGAAACCCTACCAGAGCCTGTATACCGAACGAACTTGGCTTTCATCGCTTGGCCGTTGTCTTCAACCGAGTGATCCGAGGTCACTAGAAGAAGCTCTTTGGCATACGCAGCTGCAACCGCAGCTGTGTAACGCTGCCAGGTTTTGTTTTTATGCGAGTCGGCATAGTCACATATTCCGCGAATAACCAGGCATGGGTAGTCGTTGACAAGGCCCGCGGCTTCCATTTCCACGCATAACGCTCCATGCTGCCGCCCTAAATGGTCCCGGACATGGCCGTCCCGGACCACCTGATTGCCCGAGGCTATCAGTCCATAATGAATCACTGGCTCTTGGCTAGTTCTGATGGGCCGCTTTACACGCTGACTTGAGTCACAGTTGATGCAAGAAGAACGCAGTTCCTCATGCTGATAACTTGCTTCGAACAATGAGTCTACCCCGTGGCGATCCGTGTAGCTCCAGCGCATCATCGGATACTTTTTGGAAATCTCACCCACAAATTTGGAAATCTTGCTACCTTCCATTTGATGAATCGCCTGCAATTTGGAGACAGCCGTCAGAAGGATTTGCGGTGGCCGGTTTAAGGCCCCTGTCCGCACAAATTTGCCGGCATGAGTTGCCTTCCCAAGATCATATTGGATAACGCCCCCATGAGTTGTGCTGCTGGTCGGAAGACCGACCACAACGTCTCCTAGCCTGATATCCGCATCCCTACTTGGAATCCCGCCTCCAATACCGACCAGCAACCCGAATTTGACCGATTGAAAGCTTGATAGCAACTGCGTGGCCACTGTTGCAGCAGAAGCAATCCCGTACTCTCCGCTCGGCAAGCATGCGATAGCAACGTTGTGCTTTCCGATCCTTCCTAAGGTATAGGCGTTGTGATCGTTTGGCTTGACCGGTAGGTCCTCGTGTATTTCATCCAGCATTGCCTTCGCCGCGGCCATCCCCAAGGAGAGCGCGCAAATCCACCCGACGGTGTAGTCTTCATGGCGTAGGGTCGTCATCGTCGAGGAAACTATTTGTTTGGTAACGTCTCAAAAAGCTGTCCTTGAAGTTCATTGCTCAACTGTCTGTGAAATGCCGTTCGAATGGTTGTACGCGAGAGAAGATGAGAGGCGGGGTGACGGTGAGAGGAGACGAGGCTGCGAGGCTGCGAGGCTGCGAGGCTGCGCGTCTGCTTCTGTTCGCTGAGTCTCGTGAGACGCCATTCCGCATCGGGCTCCCAAGTACATGCCCTTGTCAACTTGTAGGCTTATCAGAAGTGTTCCAGGGAATTGAGAGCTTTCAAAGATAGAGGAAGTGCAGGTGGGATCTATGATGAATTTGCAAGAATGGGATCCCTGGGTCCGAGGAGGTAGCGTGCCTACCTTGCGAGAATACTATATTGCCTACTAAGAACAATATCCAGGTGCTCCAGTAGTCTTTTGATATCATATGCATCTAGATAACAGCAACGCTAATGATTTGGTTTCATATTTTCCGTATCCAATCCCAACGCCAGGCACCCACGCAAATTCGAATTAAAGGGCATGTATGGTCTTGGAGGTGAGGATATAAAATGTAAAAAAAGTGTGGTCGAAAGGGCCTCGAATAGAGGGGTATCTCTAGAAATAAAAGAAGTCGCGCTCATCCAAGTTCTGTCTTTACAGAACTCCGCCGGGAAGGTTGATCTGCGCTTGTCGTGGCTCAAAACCAGCGCTGTTTGGCGCTGAGCCCGGGCCCGGTGGATAGACAGTGTTGTTTTCAGGCGGCTGTTGTTGTTTTCGCAACATAAACATCGGCTTCCGTCCTTCCTTTTCCAGCTGCTTGAAGAGAATGAGCGGTCGCTCTTCTAGCCCGAGACAACGCTCCTGATCGCCGTATACAATGTAAAGGGCATACTGTTTCCAGTCGCCATTGATGTTATACTTCTTGAGAGCAGCTGGAAGGACTTTGTAGCACGGATCATCAACGGAAACGCGGAAGGACTTGAAAATTTCCACGCTGGGATTTTCGCCCCCTGCTCTAGACTCAGAACGCGAGGGAATCTCGGAGCGTGTGGCGGACGAGGGGGGAGGGTTCAGCCGGTCCGAGCGGGACTGAGATTGCGCAGTGTCGTCGTAATGATCATGGTGCGTGCGGGCAGAACCTGGCTGTGAGTAGGCACGGGATGCTAGAGTCTGCGGTGTGCCGTAATGATTGCCAGGGGATGTCGGGGACGGTAGGTTTGGTGATAACTGCGACTTTCCATTCATCGTACTGAGATGTGAGGATGCGGCAACAGCAGCGGCGGACGGGTCAAGATTGGTGCCGTCGTTGTACGTCCGGCCCTCATGGATAGAAGGTGGGATGTGGGTTGGGGAATTGTTCTTGGGAGTCGTGCCTCCATGAACTCGTTTAGACAGGTTCCGAGACAAGATCGAGCCGGAACGATCCAGGATGGTAATGCCAGACTGTTGGCCTGTGAGCGTTGACCCGGAGAATCTATCGTCATGGTAGCTGTCCGTAGTCGGCACGGCAGTCGGCGGTGGTAGCGGTTGGGATTTATCTTTTGCCATCTTAAAGACGGGCAAAAGCTCCTCCCTTAGCCGCCGGTAGTCCTCTAAGACACGCCGTAACTCGGTCTCGACGCTGATGATTTTCTCGTCTCGAAGTCGGATGGATTGGATTAGTCGAGCGATATCTTCCTGGGTTGCGCTCTCGTTCATACTTTGGTCGGCAGCTGCGCGGAGTTAGTAAAGTAATGAGCAAATATAGGGTGGAACATACAAAGAGGAATGTAGTGGTCACCATCGAGCGGGATATCCTGCTTGACTTTTGTCTCGTAGACGCTCTTGAGAATGGTCAACCGGTGTCCCACACTAGCAATGCCCATTTCTTTCAGCTCGTCGTGTCTTAACGCAATGAGGGCTTCTCCAACAATCCCGTTCTCTACAAACGCGACATCAGTGGTGTCCTATACTCCGCGAAGTCCTGAGTTCAACTCACCTATGAACAATTGGCAGTACTGACGAAGACCCAGGGAAGCGACATAGCTCGCGCATTCTTCAGCGGTCCATTCGGTAATTATTGTTTTCGGGGACTTGGAATTATCTTCATTGCGAGCGAAGGTGGGAGTGGGTTCTGCTGAAGGGAACTCTGACTCTGATGCGGAGCCTTCTGAGTCCGTCGCTAGGTGAGGCGACGTGATGACGCTGCGCTCGTACTCATCGTCCGCGTCAGAGTCTGCGTGATAGGAGGTATGGAGTGACATGGCGATAGCGATAGAGGACTGACGACGCCCACAGGGAAGAGGGAGGAGTAGTGGACGTCGTTCGGCTAGAATCGGTGCGGCGCTGGGTGCGACGGCGGGTGAATATGAAGAGTTTCAAGCTCGTAAAAATGTCGTAATCGTGTCATTCACTGTCGATGGGTCCCAGAGTAAAGGAGTGTGCGAGGATCGGCCAAGCGGGTGTGCCACATGGAATGGCCGGCGGCTAAAACAAGAAAATCGGCGACTCGAGAGAGCGAAAAAGCGTGAACAGAGGGAGATTCGAGAGTAAACTGCGCCGATTCTCAGAAAGCTGCTGATGCCCGAAGATAAGTAGGAGGAGATTGAGGAGATTGTGATCGATCGTTAGCGCCAGCAGCGTCGATGGTGATGAGAGCGGAGGCGGGGAAGCTCAGGCAGAGATGCCTTGATTGGGAGCGGACTGTAGGAGCGGCGGCAAATTGCCCGTCCGGAGCATAGGTACAAACAGCGAGCGAAGGGATATGATGATGGAAAAGCCGAGATACGGCTGGTCGCAGAGTGATGGGCGAGTCGACGAAGTTGTTGATCTGCTTGGGGCGCGAAGACGCACTCCGGGATCGCCGCACGTGATGGCAGTCTAGACACTCGTCCAGCTGGAGGAGAATCGACAACGAGTCAACGACAACCCGGTCTATTTTAAAATACACTGCAAAGGATAAGCTTGACTTTTATCTTGACTCTCAAGGTTAGGAATACGAATCGTCGGATCCTACCGACTCCTTAAGAAGCAAAACTCAGACTTCAGCCCTCATCCTTGCGTCCCAACACCCCCCAGCCAAGCCAGCCTTCGAGGACCATTACCTTGTCCGAGTGTCCGTCCGAAGTATCCAGTGGATCATTCAATCTATCAAGGGAATAATCAATTTGCAATTCACTCAAAGGATCCTCAGAAACAAAAGAATAGGGGATGTTCCTGGGAACTGGCCTCTCTGGATGGACGACTCGAGGACGACTATTGCGCACGCATTGCTACTAGTCTCGGGCGTCGATTCTCTACAAAAATCAATATCGGACGATGTATGAATGGACCCTCTTCTCCGGATCAATAATATTCGCGATTGTCCAAGATGACCTGGGTCAATGCTGTCAAAAACCAATAGTGCCGGACCCTTTACTTTTTTGGCCCATTTAGGGGCTCCAAATCCTCCGTTGGACTGGACACATTCAGCTTCAATAACAAGTCAACGAGGTATATGATCCTCGGCATAAAGTCAGCATTATCCTGTTTCTACTGCCTCCCCGAGCTTTGCCACTCTCTTTCAACGGGCGTTCGTTGAGCATCCGCGTCAGCCACACCGATACTCCGTACGCCCCTTAGCCATCGGTCAATGATGGTCCTGCACCGTGATATCAGCTAACCCGGCCTTCGCTTAGAGACAACCGACTGGTTGTTACGCGAGCCTGGGGCTGTGCTCACCACGAGTATACGGAGTACCACGTACTCGATTTCTCCTTTACACAGTAGTATTCAGCAAATGCTTCCCCTTACGCTGCTGATGCACCCCTGCAGATGCACACCGTTGTCACCGTATACTCTGCCGCGTCTCCGCATGCATAACCGCCCACACTCGTTTATGTGGGCCACGGTCAATAATTCTCCTGAGATCGGGCGTTGTGTCTATATTGACTCTTCAATCTTGTCCCTGAAGTTCGGTTAGCAGCTGCCGAGTCCCAGACTTCCCAGCTCCAAGCGCCTGGGGCTGCTATAAATAATATCGCACTTGGCCTTATGCCTTTGCGACTCCACATTTGTAGAAGAGGGCGCTTAGCAGGTTGACTGCTTGCTAGCATTGACTTTGTGTCGTATTTCGAGCATTTGACTGTATACGTAGAACATGCATATGTTCTGTCTGAAAACACGGGTATCCTTGTCAAGAGTCTGACTGCAGCGTTCATGGAGTTCGGCCGTCAGATCTATATTTTCAAACACTCACTTGCAGCCACTCGACCATGCTGAGAAAATTCAGTTTGTCAATCCGCGCAAAGCAATTGATATGTTCCTTTACGAGTCTTAATAGATAAACGCTTTCTTCTAGAGATCACCATTGCTCCGTTGTCCAGGTGCTAAGACATCCAGATTCCCAACTTCTACCGGGCCCGAGTTGCATCGCTAGGTACTCTTCTCTCAGCCTCATAGCCGGAACCCTTTGATCTCTTCAATACCAGAACACCATCGCCCGAACACACACCTGGAAACAAAGAAACCGACCATCGAAATACCGCATTCGCAGTCGCTATCTAATCGCTCGGCTTGGCGCAGATCAAGTCCTCCGCTGGCGCATTTTCTCCGCCGACCTTTTTAAGTTTCCTTATACTTACAACCTTACAATTCTCGAACTATATCCCACGCTGCTACTTTTCGATCTCCTACACCTATCAAACAAGTCGCCTTCATATCAAGACCTCCCAGTATACCCATGATCCCCGCGCAATCCAACTAAACCTACGGACCCAGCCGGCGCGGACGCCGAGTCGCCATTCCATTCACTACGGACACCGACCCCAACACCGACAGCACATCTGTCCAAAAACGAAACCTTCCACTACCACACAACCAATTCCACATACTTCATACCGGATATCCAGGAAACCACAGTCATGCCATCCTCACCGACATCATCCAACGTCTCCGCGCAACCCTTGAACTCTTCCGACCTCGAATCCGACCTTCTCAACCACCTCGCCTCCACACACGCGCTCGACGACCTACACACAAACCTCCTCTCCACACTGCAACGACTCGGCTGGACCGAGAAGATCAGGCGGCTATCGACGGAACTCCTCCGCGCAAACCGGTGCGAGCGCTTTGACGACGTCGTCGAGGCAGTCGTTGCCTCGGCGCAGGGCCGCTCGCATCCGTTCCTGGTAGATTCGGACTCCGAAAATAGCTCCGGCGCGCGCGCAAACCACACGCACAATGCGAATGGGGATGTGGACGGGGTGGAAGGCAACGGCGGCTACTCGTTCGAGAATGCGGATGTGCGGATTCCGAGCGTTGTTGTTGAACAGGGGTATCGCGCGATTAAGGACTTGTTGAGGGAGGTGGTTATCCTTGAGGATGAGGGGGATGGGGCAGGGAGTAGTAGCGGCCCTACGAGCTCGAGTGGAAATATCGCCGTTGAGGTGGTGGGAGAAAGTGCGGCGAAACGGCAGGGCGACAAGCCGATTAATGGTGATACAAGTCCGACCAAGAAGGGAGACAAGAAGGTCAAACAAGGAAAGCAGACGAAATGAGTTTGCCGAACACGCGTCGGGGGATTTTGTATAGGTTGTCTGGGGGCTGTTTTGTTTTCGGAGTTATGGGTAGGGATTTCTGGTGTTAAGAGTGGCATTTACATCTGATACCAGCCTTGATATGTACAACACCTCGGTCGAGTTACTATGGCCGATCTTAACGGTTTTACCCGTCGAATATACATCTGAACTATGTCTAGATTATGGAATGTATCACAAGTCAAAACCAATGAGTTCGTTTATCGACGTTGAGGAGGACCGCTCCCTGTCGCCAGGAACCTGTATCCCCACCACGCTAGATCTAACTAATGTTGACGCATAAAGCCATTATGTAAAAAAGAGGAAAGGGAATTTAATCGTAGAGGCTGTCGTCATTACCGGCTTCACCAAATGTGTTGTTCTCATCCGCAACTTCATTTGCAGAAGGGAAGCGGAAGAAGCTGCTGCCACCAGAGTTCTTCAGGCTCTGGGCGAATGCTTCATATCGGCGGATCTCCACATCGCTGACGGATCGTCGCGCAGTCTTCATGGCCTCTTCAAAGTGAGCTCGTGTGAGTTCAGGAACGGGATCTTCGCCCTCCTCCTCATCTTCCATCTTTACATCCTCACCCGCAGCTTCGCGCTGCTTCTGGCGTTCAATGTCAAGAGAGATAGACTCCTTAATAGCAAGCTTGACGGCACGCTGGGTAACAAATCCAAGATCGGCACCGGAGAATCCGTGGGTCTTGCTGGCGATGAAGGGAATGTCGACATCGGAAGCGACAGGGGTCTTGCGCAGTTGAGCCTTGAGGATACCCTCGCGAGAAGCCTGGTCGGGCAGAGGAACGTAGACAAGAGTGTCAAGACGGCCGGGACGCACCAGGGCAGCGTCGAGCTGCTCGGGTCTGTTGGTAGCACCAATGACGAAAACGTTCTTCTTGGAGGTCATTCCATCCATTTCTACACTCATGTTAGTCTGTTTTCATGCAGTCATGTTCGAAGCACTTACCAGTGAGAAGCTGGTTTACGACACGGTCGGAAGCACCACCAGCATCTCCGACGGAGCCACCACGGGACTTGGCGATAGAATCCAACTCATCGAGGAAAACTACGCAAGGAGCGGCCGCACGAGCCTTGTCGAAGATATCACGAATGTTGCTCTCAGACTCACCAAACCACATGCTCAGCAACTCAGGACCCTTAACAGAGATGAAGTTTGCAGCACACTCGTTGGCAACAGCCTTGGCAAGCATGGTCTTACCAGTACCAGGAGGACCATAGAACAGAACTCCGCGAGAAGGTGACAGACCGAACTTCTGGAACTTTTCGGGGTGGTCAACAGGGTATTGGACGCTCTCGATAAGCTCGCGCTTGACTTCCTCGAGACCACCAATGTCCTCCCACCGGACGTTGGGAACCTCGACGACAGCAACCTCGCGAAGAGCGGAGGGGTTGGAGACGCCAAGGGCATAGCGGAAGTTCTCCATGGTAACACCAAGGGAGTCCAAGACCTCCGCATCGATAGTGTCTTCGTCGAGATCGATGAGGTCCATCTTCTCACGAATCTGCTGCATGGCAGCCTCAGAACAGAGAGAAGCAAGATCGGAACCAACGTAACCGTGAGTCTCAGCAGCAATGGTCTCCAGGTCGACATCCTCGCCAAGCTTCATATTCTTGGTGTGGATGGAGAGAATCTCAAGACGACCAGTGGGGTCAGGAATACCAATGTCGACTTCACGGTCGAAGCGACCGAACCGGCGAAGAGCGGGGTCAATGGAGTTGGGGCGGTTGGTGGCGGCCATGACGACGACGTTGGAGCGAGCCTTCATACCGTCCATCAGGGTCAGAAGCTGGGAGACAACACGGCGCTCAACCTCTCCGTTGGTCTTCTCACGCTTGGGCGCGATCGAATCGATTTCATCGATGAAGATGATAGCGGGCGAGTTCTTCTCAGCTTCCTCGAAAGCCTTGCGGAGGTTCGACTCTGATTCACCAGCCATCTTGGACATGATCTCAGGACCGTTGATCAGGAAGAAGAAAGCACCAGTCTCGTTGGCCACCGCACGAGCCATCAGAGTCTTACCCGTACCGGGAGGACCGTACATGAGGATACCACGAGGAGGCTTGATACCAATAGACTTGAACAGTTGAGGGTGACGAAGCGGCAGCTCGACCAACTCACGGATCTGGGCCATCTGCTTGCGGCATCCACCAATGTCATCATAGCCGACTTCGTTCAAGTTGTTCTCCTCATCCTCACGCTGAATCGGTTCACCCTCGCTGTGAATAATGGTATCCGGAGCAACGATACCGAACTCTGGGGGGTCCACCTCGACAACTTTGAATTCAACTTGCCGCATACCACCTCTTACTGTGAAGAGATCTCCCTGCTTCACGGGCCTGTATCCATCACGGAAGTAAGGAGCAAGGTAAACGTCAAAGAGAGACCCGGTCAGACCCTCAACAGTGTCGGCAATGGGAAGAACAGCAATACGCTTGGCCTGCGCATAAGGAAAGAGCGGTTAGCCACCACTCAACGCCACTTAAAACCAATGCAACTCACATATTTGATATCAGGGCAAGCGTGGACAGTGATGATATCACCGTGCTTGACACGCAAGTTATGCCTGACAACCCTGTTGATACGGGCGCTTCCATCATCGAGATCATCGTCGGCAAGCACAATCAGGACCGTCTCCTTGCGCTTCTTGCCTCGGACCGTGACCGTGTCGCCTCGGAAAAGACCGAGTGTGTCCATGGTGTTGTTGGAGAGGGAAATCGTCGAGTTATCATCGTTAACTGCATCAGTGACACTAAGAAACAGCGGTTAGCGCCACCCAAACAGCTCTGCACCAGGTAAAGTTGATAGCTCACATCAGGCTGTTGGGCTTCTTCTTCTTCTTCAGAATAGCTGTAGAGGTGTCGAGTTCCTGCGGAGAGTCAGTGAAACTGAGCGAGAGCGCTGTGGCGTATGACTGATGTACCTCTTTCTTCTCGGCACCAGAAGCGTCACTGACGAAAGGTTAGTCCAACGGCTGGTAAGAACGAACAAAAGTGGATGGCATACAGAAGCTTCTTCTTGTGTTCGTCTGAACTCATCTTGATTGAAGGCGCTGGGCGATGATAAAGCGAACAAGACAATTACGCAACGTAGACTCGAGGAGAGTTTACGCAAGAAGTTGAGTGTGCCGGACCTGGAAACGCCCCAGCAACGCAAACGAGATGCGAAAAGCGGACGTAAACGCAAACGGGAAAAGTTCCAAAGGACAGCGAGAATGGCCCGAGGAACGAAAAAGAGGTAGAAAGATGGATGGGTTTGAGAATGGAGACAGATAGAGAGAGTTGGAGGTGAGATCGGAAGTGGACAGAGGAGCTCCAGTTATGAAGAGGTGACGATTAACTCGACCGCCAAGGTGTTCCGTTGATGACTTAAGCACCGAGCCTTTGTATCAACCGCCACCGCCCTGGGAAGAAGCAAATGGAAACCGGTCGTAGCGGCCTTCGCACGATAATCTCTTCTCACCTCTGTCAGCTTCTTGCCATCGCCCTTTTTTCTGCAGGGATTGCTTTTGTTTGCTAACCCGTAGGCTACCGTGGGTGCGTCAGCCTGACAATGGACAGCGGTTCCGGCCAGGGTCCATCCGCTAGTCGGTGCCTGGATTCTGAGGCATTCGGTTCACCCATGGAGCCTTGCGATCTATATGCCGTGACCATTATTACAACTTTACCCAGGCACCAATGCAAGCAGCGGGTGAACTGAAGCTGGTAAACTGCCTCGCCAGGCTGCGTTACCCAGAGCCTCGCAATGGACTCATCAATGCGGATAAAAAAGCCGTGGAACTCGTGGACAGTTAACTCATCCAAGGTTCTGTATAGAAGCTCAGAAAATGGTTTGTTGTTGAACAACTAACTTTTCATTTTACGTTTCTGAGTCTTTGACGATTAATCCTCACCATAGAATCTACAGATGACTCGTACTCTGTGAAGAGTCATACCGACCTGGCGGATAAAAGGGGATTTGCTCAGGATTGTTCGCCAGTTGCATGCGCTTGATCTTGTCTTGTCGACCTTCAGGCGGAGCCTCTACAGTCACATCTGCCAGAACAAGCGACAAGCTAGGGTGACTTTTACTGCTAAGATCCCTCAAATTTCCACTGGTAGCGAACATGCAGTGCAAGGAGAGCTATCCGGAAGACTTCAAAGATGCATTTCGAAGATCACCTCTAAAAGAAGGGGAGCTGGACGAGCTCGTCGCAAGGTCTAGCTATCCTCCCGTCTTTGTCTTCGGCCACTCGATGCTCCCCACAGCTCTGAAGTACTTCGCGGACATTCCGCAAGCCATGAAAGTCGACATGGTCTACGCAACCCTCCCAGGGTACAAGCTTCATCATTTCGCGGAGGAGGGCAAGCCCGGTCTACCAACGATCAAGCCGTCATTGTCACCGGCGGAAGTGGTCGAGGGAATGCTTGTCTTCGGGCTGACCAGGGAGCAGCGCAGCGACATCCAGGAGATCGAATGCGTACGAACCGGGCATAGTATGTTCATGGCCGTCCATGTCCAGGTTTCGCTGATGGACAGAATCCACGGCTTTGAAGTCAAATGCCAGAAAACTGTGGACGCGGGCACTTTCGTGTGGGCCTGGAATTCTAAGGATACAGAACTGCTCCCCATGGAAACCTCCTTCTGGCCTATAGATGAGTTCTTGAATGGCCAGCTTTACGCGAACATCGTGGACCAGCAAAACAAACTGCAAGTTAGCGATGACTAGACATTTTGACTTCTCGATATTTCTTGCTATCAGCGCTCGTTAGATACCCATCTGTTTAGTTCTGGAGACTCGGACCAGCTTGGTTTTATTTTTGGCTAGCTGCTTGAGTTGAGTTATGCCGTTCATCTGTTATCCTCAATAGAATCGTCCCACTAGCATGTCACGAAAGATATCTAAACATGCCATAGACTTTCCCATCCCATTTATTAAATGTCTATCATATATACAAAATCCGTGCCCATTCTACAGCGTAGAAGCCCATAAATCCGCGAAGCCCCAGGCCCCAGCCATGAAACTGACGACGCCGACCAAATGACCGGGGAAGCCAATGCCATTCTCAAAGCTCCAGTGCAGACACAGCGGCGTCCAGCAAGCGTTATTCACGAGACTCTTCTTCCATGCCTTAACCTCTGCATTAAGCTCCTCGCGCTTCTCAGCCGACTCCCCTTCAGCCTCAGCTTTCTTCCGCAATGCCCTCGCTCTCCACAGCACGAAGTACTGTAGAATGATATGGCCCAGCCACGCCCTTGTACTCCAGATATCCACCTTCGCCGCCCCACCCCACCGCGCGAGAAATCGCTTGGGTATGACGCCTTTCGTCGTAAGAAATGCGGAGTTCTCGAGCGCTTGGTAGATGATGTTTGCGAGGACTTGAAGGAGCGTGAGGGCGTAAATGGTCTTGTCTACCGGTGGGGATTTTAGCGTCGCTGAACCCCAGGCTATCAGTTGGGGAAGATCTAGGAGACGCAGCATGAAGCGGGCTTCGGACATGAGGGAGGAGAGAGCGAGGAGGGGGGAGGTCTGCGGGGTTGATGGTGGTGTTGGTGTTGGTTTCGCAGTTGATGGGGTTGTCTTCGAGCGGAGTCGCGCGAGGAGGCTGAGACGGGTTTGGAGCGCGATCCAGGGCGCGGAGGCAAGGACGTGGTGGAGGATGTGCGAGGTGTACTGGATGAAGGAGAAGACGCGTTCTTGGCCGGCTGATGTCGCTAGAATTCTATAAAGTAGATCTTGGTTAGCCTGGCGATAAGGACGATGTAATTGGGTTGTTGGCCGCAGTTTGACGATACGGCTTTGTAGAAGCTTGGATTAACTCACTTATTCAGACGTCCATTAAATCTATCTGCAGTCAGAAGAGCTGCCAGCAACCGGCGCTGCGCAGCTTGTCTGGACGATACCGGAGGTGTGTTTCCTGCGGGGCTCAATGGCTTCTCAGTGTTGGGCGCCTTTTCGTCTGTCATGGTGAAGGGTTTGGCGGTAGCTGGATATAATTATGATGCGCTGTACTCCGTAGGAAGAAATAAAAGTAGATTAGTCGCCGGCGATAAGTAGGGGTTGGGAGTTTAAGAAAGAGAGAATCTCCATGTCCCCGGACTGTCACGATCCAGATGATCTCGGCCTGGTGCCGAGGCTCGGAACGACCGCGGTCAGATACCGACACCACCTGAGCTACTCCGTAGCCAACTACATCAATTCCGAGAAACAGTTCCGGTAATCCTTCAATATCATTGATAATTGAATTGAGCATTACAAGGCATATCAATCCAGCTTGAGACCAGGTGTTCAACCTTATGCGATAAACAGCAGCACCCCTTTCCGCAGTCGCGATAAATCCCAGTTTCATGGCGAAAATAATCGAAGAAAAACAAGAAGATCCTCAAGTCATTAACCCGTCACCTGCATCGCCTTGCCAAATATGGTTTTCTTTTCTATCCCTTGATAGAATAGCGCATCTTTCCAGCGAACCCCTATCCCAGGAACCAATCGACCCATTACTCTTCTCCAACGTGGTGGCTGTTGACCGAGAACTCAAGTTCTTCTTCGTCAGACTCGTTGAACGGGACGTGCCCTTCATCATCGGAGACATCATAGCCCCTTTTGCGAATCTCAGTGCTCAAGGTCTCGACCTCCTCAGTTATCTCCTCAATCGTTGACAAGTTGCTCAGAGCGCCCATGTTGAGAGAAGACTCGTACCCCGCAAGATGTGAAGTTCGTCTTATACGACGACGGTGAAAAGCACGGTATGAGTACTGCGTGAAATGAGGCGGCGGGGCAGGAGGGTAAGGAGCGCGTAAACCAAGGTTCCTGACCAAGTTCACGTCCGACACAGGTGTCTCCCACAAGTCCCAGGCACTCGGAGGCGTGACGTCGGGATTGTTGCAGACCTCATTGAGACTAACCCAGGTTCGCTCTTGAAGCTTGCGGTCGCAGTGGTAGCAGGCCCTGTACTGGCAGCGGCCGGGGCGAGAATGCACGTCTGCGCTGAGTCTGCTCTGGTGCGTTTCGAACTTATGGAACTCGTACTGCTGTGCAGTGCCCTGGCTAGGGTCGTAACTGCTTCCAGACATAGATAGAGTTCTCTCCATTTCGCACAGCTCCAGAACCTCCAGCTTCTGTTGCCACAGTTTGTCTCTCTGCTTGTCGGTATATTCGCCGTCGAGGATTGCGTCCGTTATCGATTCGCTCAGGAGTGAACCGTTACGATCGGTGGATGCTGCATAGTCGGTGGAGTCCTCAGTACACAGGTAGAACCATCTCAAGAAGGGCCTTCTGCCGCAGTTATTGCAGGTTTCGTACTGATCAATCCTCCACTGGCGAGTCACGGTACTATGAGAGCAGTTATCATGGCGGCACTGCTGGCTCGGGTATGCAACGATGGCTGGGCTTATAGTGTACGGCTGATGAAAAGAATCGTCCGACTCTTGGGAGTCATCTGCTGCGTCGAACGAATCCTCGTTCGTGTCAACTGATTCCAAGTGCTGAAAAGAGGCCATGTCCGAGTCTGGATCCGGGGATACGCCCATCAAGACTGGGTAGGAACTCAAGCCCTCACCTTCCATGGTGGGGGGGAGTGAGACCAAACATGCAGAGAAGACCTGTGTTATGAAAGTCGCCATTAGGATAGCAATGAGGTGAATCTTTCTCTCGGCACTCTTCTTTGCCTGGAGCTCCAGTGAACACCAGGCAAAGATTCAAGAAAGATCCATAATGGTTGCTTAGATTTACTCACATGATTAGCGAACTCTCATATATCTCAGTCATTTGAAAAGAACCACCATCACTCTTTTGAATAAAGAGTTCTATACAATATACATCTTCAGGCACTTTTATTTGATGCCTGAGGCATCGTCTGGGCGTGAAGCGGCAAACACAAGATATTGATCAAAATGCCTGCCAAAAAGTTCCAGGTCCATTACTTTCTGACCTCATCAGACACGTCGTCTAGGCACTAGAAGATGTTATTATCTGAAATTTTATGCCATAATGCTATGTATACATAGTGGACTACGGCAGACTGGGAGTCGGCGTCTTCCGATGCCGCAGGCCTAGCCGGGATATAAAGCAAGCAGCTGCCGGCCTCGTGGCGCCGTCGGTTCCCCTCCACTCCAGCCGTCAGCCTCCAGGCCAAATTCCTATCCTTCTGGAGCTTGTTTCCAGGGAATTCTGCACCTGCTGGGTTGAAGACGCGTGCAAGAGCTATAAAAATCGCCGACCAGAGCCCCAGTCGCCCAGGGCCGCCAATTGACTCCGCATCCCAACCTCGGTAAGCTCCAGGAGTCCCGAGTCGATCTGCTGTTGTCCAGCCTCTCCATAAACAAACACCACACCCCCTGTCCTATATTACTATTCGCCCAACGATCCCCAACCCCATATTTTCCGTCGTCGGCCGGCCCTGACCCGCCACGTCTCATCGCTCCATCTTCTTTCCCACATCGTCTGTCATCGCGTTTCCAGTTCATTGCTTTTCCTCCAGCTCACCGCGTTTTCGATCGCTGCAGGTCTCCTCTTATCGCTCCTCCACATCGCAGCCATGTCCGTCAAGTTCGAAGACGTGCAAAATGCCGCTACCGCGGCTGCCACGGCCGCCGACACATCCCTCCGGGCAGACACAAAGGAATTGGCGCATAAGGTCGGCGAGCGCCTGACCGGGGGCAATCCCCAGACTGGATACCTCGCTGTATGTTCCCTTTGTGAAATCCGGGGATTTGGTGGTTGTTGCTGACCGGATACCTCGATCGCAGATGTACCTACGAGAGCTTCAGGCCAACCCACTGCGCACGAAGATGCTCACCTCCGGTGTCCTCTCTTCCGCGCAAGAGTTCCTCGCATCTTACCTTGCCAACGATGTGAGCAAGCACGGCCACTACTTCAGCTCCCGAGTCCCCAAGATGCTTCTGTACGGCATGTTCATTAGCGCCCCCCTCGGTCACGTCCTTGTGGGCATTCTTCAGAAGGTCTTCGCGGGTCGCACCAGCTTGAAGGCTAAGGTTCTCCAGATCCTCGCCAGCAACCTGATTGTATGTACCTCCATTCAGCGAATACCCCATATGCGCGGCCCCGCTAACCGAGGTACCCCAGGTTTCCCCAATCCAAAACGTGGTCTACCTGACCTCTATGGCAATCATCGCTGGTGCCCGCACTTTCCACCAGGTCCGCGCCACCGTCAAGGCCGGTTTCTTCCCCGTCATGAAGGTCAGCTGGATCACCTCGCCGCTGGCTCTGGCCTTCGCCCAGAAGTTCCTCCCTGAGCACACCTGGGTGCCTTTCTTCAACATCGTCGGGTTCTTCATTGGAACCTACGTCAACACTCACACCAAGAGAAAGCGCCTGGAAGCGCTGCGAAAGGTATAGTTGCTCCGAGATTCTGTCGATGTACTCGGTTAACCCCTCATAGCGTTACAATTCCGGCCGCGGAGGTCCCGGCAGCGAGTACGAGAAGGGACCCGGACCCGACTACCGATAGAGGATGTGAACTCCTCCAGACCAATCGCCATTGACGACCGTCGAACATCATACGCAACGTTTCCATGGGCTGTTCGACACAATCTCAACATCCTTCTCCACCCTTCCCAATCATATCCTCCTTCGCTGGCCTTTTGTCCTGTCGATACTCGGTGGACCGAATCACTCCAAATCTAAATCGTCTATTAGACGAAGATATGCTTTATCCTTACGATGAATGGTTGCTCTTTTTTATCTTGCCCTCGATTTACATACACAGTTCCCATATAGTTTGCAATTTATAATGCCGGTTACTGCATTCCCTCATTTCATTCTTAATGCGCATATGCACGGTACTGTGGCAGTGATATCCTGGGATCTGGCCTTTGACTTCCTTTAATGTAGTTTCCTTTGGGTTAAATTGTCTACGTTCCTACAACGGGGACACGCGAGAAACTTGAAGTAGCAATGCACAACTCCTTTTGAGAGTTTCGATTTTTCCCGATCAGCACCCTGTCAATTCAATAGATTTACCCTTGGCAACCGTAACCTCATTCCTCCATAGCCCCCTCGCCACCCCTCTTCTTCCTAACCCACGCAACAAAGTCATCTAGCGCCCCAGGCCAAGCCCCATCCTCACTCCACCACCCGAACGCCTCATCATCATGGCTCTTGCGCATAAACACCTCGACCTGCTGCCACAGATCCTTGTTCACGGGCTTCTTGCCGCGGCCCTCAAGGAACTCAACCCACCAGTCCAACCAGGGAGTCGCCTCCGTGTTCCAGGCGACTCCGCCCTTTGGTGTCGTGAAGAAGAGGTTCCACTGCTCGACGGCGATTTCGAATTGCAGGTTGCGCTGGCCTTGGACCAGGCAGAGAGGGAATGTGTAGCGGTAGACGCGGCGGAAGAGGTCGGGGTCTGAGGGAATACGGGTGCGGAGGCTTTGAGCGTGGGCGGTCATTTTGGAGATGGAGTCGCATCTGGTGGTGTTAGACGGAGTTGTTTTCTGGTAAGACGGGTTGAAGGTGCTTACTGAACGCCTCTCCAGCCGTTGAGGAAGCCTTCACGTGTGAATTCGCCCATGGATGGTGATTGGAGAAGCTCGGCAATTGCAAGACATGCTACTTCGTCTAGCTCGACTTTGATGTCTCCCAGGAACCGCATGGCGCCTTCGATGCCGATAGTATCTGGGTTCTCCTCCGGTGAATCTGGTTGAAGTTAGCTTTCTTGGCTTTAGTATTGTTTCTTAGTGGAGGAAATACCCCTGTATTTATCGAAGATCTGGTTGATGGCAGGCGTTGAGCCTCCTCCACCCTGTGGGCTTTGGAAGTACCTGAGACGTTGTATTAGCATATGTCATGGCAACTCGAACTCCATTTGTTGAGGGTCCAAATTCAGAGAGCGGCGAGATCCACTAAGCCAGGCGCATCTTTACCAGCAACGAAGTCCTGCGTGAGCCTTTGAGAAGGACCAAGGCGGGCAGGTCATAGGGAAGCCGGTATGGGTAACCCTCAATCTAATCGGCACCGTCCCGTGAAGCAGTTTGCTCCAATCTCAGTAGGAAGAGGCCAGCATCAAGCCTGAGAATGCGCGAAAGGCCAGTAGGTCATGCCACTTAGTCGAGGCAAGCCATGTATAGAGGTTCCAAATGATATTTCGCTCCATGCCGGCATGGAAATCGCACGCTACAACGTACGTCTGCCCTGGGAAGCGGCAAGCCAGAGAAACACGTAATTCTCGACCTCTTTTTACAACCCGAGACTCAATCGACTAAGGGCTTGTCCAATGCGGATTTCACTCTACGCAAAGACCCTCCCAATGCTGGTTCGTGTTGAAAGATGCATTTCCTGGCTCGGCAACGAAATGGGAAGGGGAAGTGTAGAACGTGATTCAAGAGCAAAATAACATGACCGACTTACGCATCAACAGCTTCCTCCGTGTTCCATCGGCTCGCCTTCAGATACTGTTCACCGTTGTCAGTATGAGCGTCACGTGATGCATAAGAATTCGGGCTGAGGTGTTGCAGAGCCATATCGGGGACAAGGCACCATAAGATGAAAAGTTGGGTGACCACCTTTGCAGCGACTGTGTTAGTGGCCTCTGTGAAGCTCACAAACTGAGCTATTTGTTGCTTCTGAGCGGCAGTGTATGGAGGCATGGCGGGGTGATCAGACTAGGAGGGGTAGAGACACCCTTCTGGTTATGTTGAGGAGGGCAATGAGAGAGGTGGAAGTAGAATACCAGCCCGTAAGTCGGCTAGGTGAGGATGAGAGAAAGGCTACTCGGAGAAAAACAAGGAGTTATTCAAGAGGCCGGGGTATGCCTTTTGGTCTCATTCGAAGAACACTCGCTGCGCCAGTTGCTGACTGATCCAGGCACGTGCTATTCAGGCACTTTCCTAATTGGGACAAATTACCAACCGGATGTCTATTCTGCTGCGATGCTGGAAGTATACTGATCTAGAGCTTGCCATTGCGCTACTGACGAGTTTATAATTAACGATTCCCATTCTTGTGCTCTGGTATACCTGCTTTGCTCTTGGGTCAACAGTTCGGAGTTAACTGCGAGTGGATCGGCGACTAGCGGGATTTCTTGGCGCTGGAAAAATAGCGAAAAAAAGTTTCCAGACCGTCTAAGCCGGAGCACCCCAACATTCCAAGCACCGTTCTCGAACGCAGACGAACGAGGTACAGATGGCTCCCGGACGGACGACAAAAAGGAGAAGGGTTAGCCCTCCGGGCGACGAGGAAGTCACCAATGGTGCAGGCGACTTCTATTCCCACGCCGCCGAATGGGATCTGGAGCAAGACTACGAGCAGCGACCGCGCAAGCTGAACAAGAAGGAAAAGGAAAGGACCAGGCTTCCAATCAAGACATCCGAGGGGTTTCAAAACGTCGAAGCATCCGAATCCGAGCCCGAAGACGACGACAGCTTCCTGGCAACTGACGATGACGAGGAAATGGAGAACGGTGATGCCGGAGAAGATGCGGCCGAAGAGAGCGAGGAAGAGGCACCGAAGATTCCACTGAAGCAGCAGATCATACAAGCGAAGGAGGAGATTGCACGAGCGGCGACGCTGATTAACGAGGATCCCGAAGAACATATTTCATCGTTTAAGACGATGTCTGAGATGGTGGACGGTGGGTCGCACGTCGCGGTCAAGAAGCTGGCTCTTGCTTCGCAGGCTGCGGTCTACAAGGATGTCATTCCAGGCTACCGAATCCGTCCGCTGAGCGAGGAAGAAACGTCCGGAAAGATATCGAAAGACGTGCGCAAACTGCGGAATTACGAGCAGTCGCTTCTCTCGGGCTACAAACATTACATCCAGACGCTCCTGGCTTTCACGAAGTCTTCGAAGGATAAGCCCATAGACGCCGGGTTGAAAACCGTTGCAATTAATTGCGCCTGCAGTCTGCTCCTCGCTGTACCACACTTCAACTTCCGTGCGGAACTGCTGCGGATAATCGTCAATCAGCTGGCGAGGAAGCGCATAGACGAAGATTTCGTCAAATGCCGGGATACTTTGCAAGATGTATTCTCTCGTGACGATGACGGAGCAGTCTCGCTCGAAGCTGTGCGCCTCCTTTCCAAGATGATGAAGGCCCGAGACTTCAAACTCCACGGAAGCGTCCTAGACACATTCCTCCACCTCCGACTGCTCCGCGAATTCTCTTCAAAAGGCTCAAGGGACCGCGTGGACCGCGACAACGAAGAAGAAAACACCCTCGGCGGCAAGAAACTGAAACAAAAGAAGGAATTCCGCACCAAGAAGAACCGCAAGCTCGAGAAAGAACGCAAGGCCGTGGAAAAGGACATGCGCGAAGCAGACGCCCTCGTCTCCCATGAAGCCCGCGACAAAAACCAAGCCGAAACTCTCAAACTCGTCTTCGGCATCTACTTCCGCATCCTGAAACTCCGCATCCCCAACCTCATGGGTCCCGTCCTCGAAGGTCTCGCCAAATACGCCCACATGATCAACCAAGACTTCTTCGGCGATCTCCTCGAAGCCCTAAAGGACCTAATCGGGCACGCCGAAAACGACGAGCTCAACCCCGACGATGACAACGCCGACGAAGAAGACGAAGAACCCACCACCTCACCAACCTCCACAACCCGCGACTCCACCCGCGAATCTCTCCTCTGCACAGTCACGGCCTTCGCCCTACTCGAGGGCCAAGACGCCAGCAAAGCCGCCGCAGCCCTCCACCTCGACCTCAGCTTCTTCATCAAACACCTCTACCGCTCCCTCTACACGCTCTCCACAAACCCCGACGTCGAATACAACCCCAACGCCTCGAATGCCCTCCGCCTCCCCGACCCTTCCTCCTCACAAGCAGCCCAGCAACAACAGAACATCGAGCGCAAGAAGAAAGTCAACTTCCAAACGCCCATTGTTCTCCTCCTCCGCTGCCTCAACGCCTCTCTTATCTCACGCGCAAACGGCCTCCCGCCACCTGTTCGGTTGGCAAGTTTCGCAAAACGCCTTATGACGGCGTCACTGCAGGTTCCTGAGAAGTCGGCGCTTGCGACGTTGGCATTGCTGAATCAGGTAGCTAGGCATAACGCGCGGAGAATCAGTTCGTTGTGGTACAGTGAAGAGAGAAAGGGAGATGGAATGTTTAACCCGTATGCCACGGACTTTGAGGCGACGAATGTGTTTGCGGGGACGGTTTGGGAGGGAGAGTTGCTGAAGCTGCATTATTGTCCGGAGGTTAGGGATGCTGCTGCGGGTGTTGAGAAGATGATTGCTGCAAGGGATTAGGATTATATCATATCATATTGTACCGTGTATAGAGGAAATGGAATCCACTTCGTTTACGAGAAGCAAGCACTTTGGCTTGTACTGCTTTGTTAAATGTCAATTCAAAGACCATGGTTTGTTATGTCTGTGGCTCAGGGTACCTGAGTTTGATTAATTACACTTGAATTTCATCCTGAGCCACTTGCCTCACGCAAAGGAGAGAAGACACATGATTTCGGCAGAGGCCGGAGAGAACAAGATACCGAAGTAATGCGGAAGAAAAAAGAAAGGGGATTTCCTGAAAGAATCCTGTGGGAAAACAAGACAAACCTGAAGTTCATACAAAAATCTCCTGGGAAACCTTCGCTTTGCAAAATGTCCACATCCCGCCAACGGCAAAACACCAAACATGTACAGAAGACCAGAGACGAATTCAAGAAATAAGAACCCATTTACCAACCCTTCCGCAAATTTGCTCGTTAATCGTCACGCAGGAACAAAACGGAAACAAAAGGCAGCGACAGGCCACCAAAATGCATACATAGACGACATGCAACCCCAACGCAGCCCAACCAAGATCGGAACAATACTGGCTCGGCGAGTCAAAGGCTGGTATCCAAGCGCGGGCAGAACCATAAAGTAAATCAGAAGAAAAGGCCATGCCCATCTGGATAACCAGGAGCGATTGGCACATTCCCGTCTCCGAACCATTCAATGCCGACGCCATCCAATTGATTAGGAATAGGTATAGGGCCGTGACTATGCCCAATAGGATAGCCGGGGCCAGGTAGAGCAGGATGGGGATGCATCAACTGGGGAGTGAGAAACTGCGGCTGCGCAAATCCTGTTCCCTGGCCATGGGGAAGAGAGGACGACGAAGACGCGTGGGGATAATGCATGCTAGACTGATATTGTCTGACGTCGTGATAAGAGGTGGAAGAGCTGGTAGCGAGAGACATAGCAGATGCATAAGGGGTAGGCTCATCATAGGACAGGTAAGATGGATGGGGAGATGCGGACGTGGCCGCAGAGTCTCGATTGCCAAAGCTTTGATGGGAGTGTGAGAGGCGGAGGGGGTGACCGTGCCCCTGCAGCTGTCCAGGTGCAGGGATCTGGTGATTTAGCAGTCCGAGACGTTCACGTTCTGCCATGATATGTCTCTGTTGGGCGTTGCGGAGCGCAGGGTGAATCATACTTGGGCTCTCTTCCCTTTGGATTTGCGGGATGGCAATAGCTGTTGCATTACTTGACGCGGTGGATGCAATCGAACTGGAAGGGGCGGGCGCCACGTGTGCCTTCGTAGGAGTCGATAATGCGAAACCAGGGCCCTGAGGCTCTTGGATGCCGACTGGCTTACCCTCCTTCGTACGGCGAGGGGTGCGAAGAAATCTGCTTCCAGATTGATTGTCACCATTTCGGTTCCGATGAAAACTGAAAACGCTCCCCTTCTTCTTGGGGGTTTTCAAACCGTCACTGTTGAAAACACTGCGGGGGTTGCTATCGGACTCACGCTGTGGGCCAGATGGCTGATTGCTTTCTGGGCCTTTCCCATGACTTCCCTCGGCGGCTGACTGCGGGTCTGAGTTAGGTATGGGGCCGGAGATATGCAACTTGGCTGCTTTTAATTTGGGACTCCCAGATGAGCCTTCACCAGCCTCTTCAGATATTTCTCGCTTTGTTGGGACGGGGGAAGCAATGCCGTCGGTTCGAGGCCCCGGAGTGCGATAGGCAGCAGTAGGCGTTGGTACGCTGTCACCTGGACTATGAGACCCGGGTTGTCGTGCAGCGCCAGGCTTGCTTTCCTGATGTTCTGCCACACTCTTCTTGTTGTCAGTGAGCTTGGTCTGCCGTGATTTGTTCTTGTTTACTTGTTGATTTCGTTTTCCACCGGCTGACTTGAATCCTCCTTGGCTTCCTGGATGGGATGCATCTGCTTTGGAGTCCTGGCCTTGAGTCGGGGTCTTTACAGTGCCAGTGTTAGACATGATCAGCTCGCGAAGCTCATTTTTCAAGTTGGCAACTTCCTGGTGAACGAATGCCTTCATCCTCTCCTCCACTAGGAAGGTCTCCTGACGAGCTAAGAATGCCTGATTGCGAGCTTCCATCAAGCCTTGCTGTAGATCTTTCATAACATTTGCTTGGGTCAGAAAGCGACCATCAACCGTGCGAGCAACGTCAAACACATTGTCGACCTGCTTTAGAATCTTGTCGGCTGACCAGTTGTTGCCGTCCTCGAACGTTCTGGTAAGCTTATTAACAACGGTAGTGAGATGAAAATGAAGCGAATCAACATGCGTAACGAGCTGCTGCTCCAAGGTCGCTGTGTTTTGGTAACCCGGATGCGGAGGGGGAGGAGCATACCCGCCATGACTTGTCACGCCGGCAAAATACTGGGCTTCATCGATAGTCATGTTATTCTGATTTCTTCTCACTGTTCGATCTGGAGACTTCATAGGCAGAGGAGGAGTTGGTGGAGCCCGAGGTTCCAAGAAGAATTGGTCGTCGGTTTGCTTCACGTGGGCCTTGTTTTTGAAATCAGAGGAAGACACGATGAAAGGGTGCTTTCCATTCCCAGTGCCATTTCTACCATTGAGTGGCGATTTCGGAACTTTCAAGCCAACCTCCTTGGGCGTGTCGTAAACTGACGGCGAGTATGCAGCGGCATCGCGGCAACGAGGCGGAGGGGGTGGGGTCTTGGGGGACGATGGCACGGTCAGTTGATTGTTTTCTGCTTTCATGCTGAAGACTCGATCTTGCACCTGGATGAGTTCAGGTTGACCAGTGTTCTTGCATTCGCCGGCGCGGGCGGGAGGGGATGAGCCATCAAGCAGCATAGTCTCCAGGCGCGTGTTCGGCGTGCTCTGACCAACGTCAGTGTTGTGCACAAGGCTATGCTTGAACGTCGTTTCAATTTTCCCATCATCACTACCCTTGGAGACAAGAGCCTTTGAGGAAGGACAGGACAAGATACTCTGCTTATCCATGCTCGAAGAGTCGGGAAATTCGGTGGTATGAGGAGGAGCGGAGTTGGGTGGCACGTCGCCCTTTCTGGTCTTGGGAGCATACAACTTCGGCTCGTTGAAGGTTTGAGGGGACTTGGACTGTCCCTCACTTTCAGACGAGGTACGCTGAAGCCCATATCCCGAACTGCCCCCTAATTTAGGCATACTGCTTAGGGGGGGAGTCTCTTTGCTTCGGTACTCTTTTGCAATGTCCTTTAAGCTGAACTTGGACCGCAGCGTCGCCACCTTCGATTTCTTTTTCTTCTCGGAGGATTCAGACTTTGAGCTGCGATCGGATGACAATGTAGGCTCGGTGGTGGATCTCTTCTTCGTGACGTTAGGCTTGCTCAACACGTTTGGCTTGCTAGTGGTAGGCGGCATCTCTTCCGGACGGGCGTGACGAGGCTTGGGCATGGGCAAAGCCAGCTCGGCGTCGTAGTCTAAACCGGATGTCTTCCGGGTTGTGAGGGGCTTTGGAGTAGGTTCTTCACCAGAGTTAGCAGCCTTTACCCATCGGAGGGAGAACCAGTGAATACTTGCCTTTGTCAGGGTCAGATAGGCACTGTTCTCGCTCTTTAGCTTTCATCTGAGCCCAGGCGTTATGCTCGACAGGAGACATCGCGATAAGTGGCAGACGCCAGCTTAATCAAAGTCTTTACCCCTTGTGTTATGTGCGTGCTGCGAAAATAGGATTCGAAGATGGACTCAATGGTTGACAAGTGTGTTGTGAATGGCCTCCACACCGTGGACAGTGGTGAATTTGTACACCACAACTTGCTGGTCTGGTGAAAATATCAATGTGTTGAGTAAAAGAGTAAAACCAAGCAAGAAAGGAAGAAAGAATTTTCAAAGGATCTGTTGCTGGGGAATGAGACTTGTTGCTGCACACATTATGGTGTGGATAGAAAAGCGCGCATTTCTGCTGAAGATACACCAAACAACACAGATATCACACAAAACAACTGGCAATGACATCAGAAAAAGTTATTTGCTTGTAAGCTTCTGGGAAAGAAGATCCGCCGTCCAGCCATTTGATCAAGCAGATGGCATGATGGTCGGAGAGGGTGGCCGTGAAGCTTGTTGAGGAAGGTGGGAGCACGTGAGGCAACAGACAAAAATACCAGTACATTCGCAAGGAGAGAAAAGGTCAAGTAAAGGTCTTCATTATCATCAGCTATCATTAACATCAAGTCATTACATTCTCGCGCGGTAGACAAGTTCTGTCTGTCTCGCCGACAAGCGACGCAGGGACACGCCATTTGGAAAAAGTGGGATAAGAACTGAGCAGAGTAAATTAAGCATCCGGGACACTTGTCCTTCGGTATCAAATACAGGGAGATTCGTCGAATCAAACGAGTGGCACAAACACGGAGTTTGGGGGATCAGGCGTTTCCTGGGGTATATAGGGCCTGCCAGAGGAAGGCCAGGAACGGGGCAGCAACAATGATCATCAAGAACAGGTCCCTGAATCGCATTAGCCCAAGTAAGACAAAGCATAACAAAAGTCAAATCATATCTCCCCCATCACATCAAATCGAAAACATTCTTCTTCTCTAGTTTGCCCTCCCACGGCGGCGGAAGGGTGCAAAAATGGAACCAATGAAATTGACAAACACGGCACGCAGGATATTCCTCAACCAGCTGTCATTCTGGTGATTAAGAGAAACGGCAGTGACTGACCGGTTCTGACTTGGAGATCGCAAATCGTCTCCCTTGTTTGCTGCATCATCCGCAGTATTTTCCGTGGTCGAGGGCGGTTGAAGTGTCGTGGACGGGCCACTTTCTGTGGCAGTGGATGTCTCGTTCTCTTGGTTCGCATTCTCGGGAGTCTTCTGAGCACTCTCTGTAGAAACAGGAAGTTGCTCTGTGGATGGTTGCTCCAACTGTCTCAAAAGCGCCTCACCATCACCAGCCAGCGTAGCCAGCGCAGAGTCGGTTTCAGGCTGTTCATCCTTGGCAGACGGCTGAAGTTGCGAAGATACAGCAGCAACGTCTTTGCTGGCTTCGGGCTGGCTTGTCTGAGCATCGATTTCCTTCACAGGAACAGCAGCAGACTCGTCCTCCTTCTGCGCAACGGCAACGGCTCCAGCAGCAACAGCTCCAGCAGCAACAACTGCAGCGCCCCCAGCGAGGATTTCAGGAGTTACGAGGCCATCCTTGTCATTGGACTCCTCAGCCTTAACCGCAGAGGGTGCTTCCTGGGATGTTTCTGAAGCAGGGGTATCGGGGACTGCAGCAGTGGTTTCTTCTTGGACTGGCACGCTTTCGGCGGGCTGAGCCTCCACCTCTTTCTCTTCGGTCGATGATTCAACAGGCTCCGGAGCAGTGGGCTCTTCCTTGGTGACTTGTGTTGTCTCTTCAGAAGAAAAGGGCTCAGTAGCTTCGGGCTTGACCTCCGGTGTGCTCGGCTCCTCAGTCTGGACAGCAGTAGCTTCGGCAACTGGTGCGTCATTCAAAGGAGCAACCGGCTCCGAGGGCACTTCCAACGTTTCAGGCGTTTCCTGAGGAGCGGGGGGTAGAGCAGCCTCAACCACGGAAGCATCGGTAGCGGGGTTCTCAACCACAGACTCTTCAGCTGCTGCCTTTTCGGCCACTTCCTCAACTAGCTCGTCTTGAGCCGCCACCAGCGCTTCCTCCTGACCAGCGATTACTTCGGTAGCCGGTTCTGCAACTGGCTCTGTAGCCTCCTCTTTGGCTGGAGCGATTTCTGAGACTAAGGTAACTGGTGCCTCCTCTTGACCAGCAACAACTTCAGTAGCCAGTTCTGCAGCGGACTCAGTAGTCTCATCTTTGACGAGAGGGGTTTCAGCTTCAGCAATCACCAGCGTTTCCTCCTGAGTAGGGACTGCTTCAGTAGCCTGTTCGACAGCGGGCTCTTCCTGGGAAGGCTCTTCGGCGGCCTCGGATTTGACGGCCTCGGCATTTTCAACCACAGACTCAACTGTGGAGTCCTCCTTCTTCAAAGTATCTGCCTCTGTAGGCTCGACGACGGACGGTACAGCCTCGGCCACCTCCTTGCTGACAACCTCCTTGCTGTCTGACTCATCGACCGCTGCTTCAGCTTGAGGTTGCTCGGCAGCCTCTGGCTCAACCTTTTCAGCAGCAGCAGGCTCAGCTTCGGGTTCAGTTACAATAGCAGAGGCCGCCTCAGCCACTGGTTCGGAGGCAGTTTCTTCACCCTGCGCTGCGTCGGTAGTCTTGTCCGCATCCTTAGCCGACAATTCTCCGGCGGGGTGTTCCTCAGCGGTGGCCGGAGGCGCAGCCTCATCGGGGAGTTGCTTCTTAGCAGGCAGTTCCTCCGCAACCGCTTCAGCAGGTGTAGACCCCTTCTCGCTGACTTCAGGGTTAGGCTGCGTGGATTCATTGGAGGGGATTTCTGCAGCGGTTGTCTCCGGGACCTCGCTCTCCTTGACCGTCTCGGCAACCGCGTCAGCAGGGGTAGACTCCTTCTTGTTGGCCTCAGGGATGGGCTGAGTGGGTTCAGTGGATGAAATTTCTGCAGCGGTTGTCTCCGGGACCTCGCTCTCCTTGGCCGTCTCGGCAACCGGTTCAGCAGGGGTAGACTCCTTCTCGTTGGCCTCAGGGATGGGCTGAGTGGGTTCAGTGGATGGGATATCTGCAGCAGTTGTCTCCGGAACCTCGATCTCCTTGCCCGTCTCGGCAASCGGTTCAGCAGGGGTAGACTCCTTCTCGTTGGCCTCAGGGATGGGCTGAGTGGGTTCAGTGGATGGGATATCTGCAGCAGTTGTCTCCGGAACCTCGATCTCCTTGCCCGTCTCGGCTTCAGGTACCTGAGCAGGTTCAGCAGCCTCAACAGGTTTCTCCGTCTCAGATTCGGCCACGGCAGCCTCTTCCTTGGAAACCTCCTCCACAGGGGCCTCGAATACCGGCTCTTCAACAGAAGGTTTCTCAGCAGAAGTCGCTGTGACTACCTCATCTGTTACATCGGTGGATTGGTAAGGTGTTTCGGCGGGCGCTGCGGCGGTCTCTGGCTTGTTGTTGTCAGAAGAATCATCCACGGCTTGTGCTTGCGCTTCAGCCACAGGCTTTGCAGTCTCTTCAACAGGCGCAGTTTCAGTGACTACCTCGGTTGCCACAGTTTCCGTGACAGGTGCTTCGGCAGGAGTGTCCTTCTCTAGCTCTTCTGACGGCGCAGTGGCAGCAGCTTCTGTTGCGGGAATTTCGTTGAGCGGCTCGGGCGCGGATTCCTGAATTGCTGGCTCTGCCGGCTCTTCTGTTGCCGGGGCATTGGTTGAAGCTTCAGCAACAACCTTGTTCGATAATTCATCTGACGATTCGGGCATCACGAGAATCTCAGTGGCAGGAGCTTCCGTGCTTTCAACGGCAGACACCTCCTTGGATTCGGCTGCCGCATCAGCAGCTGGCTCCTTGGTCACAGGCTCCTCCGCCGGAACCTCCGTAGACTCGGTCGTCGCGATAGAATCCTCGGCCTTGGGCTCTTCGACCACGGATTCTTTCTCGGGAGCCGGGGTCTCTGATGGGACCTCCACGGGTGCGGTTTCCTTGGCTGGTTCTGAAGCAGATTCAACAGTGACTTCTGTTGCCTCCTTCTCCTCCTTCGATTCCTCGACCGCGATCTCCTTAGAGGGTTCACTTGTGGACTCAATAACAGGCTTTTCAGGCTTCGGCTCTTCGCTCAATGTTTCCTTAGCAGGCTCTTCAGTAGAAATGGCGCTTTCCGAGATAGCGTCTGCGGGCACGGCGTTTGGAGTTTCGTTCACCGGATGGTCGATAGGTTCAGCAGCGACAGAAGCCTCTTCTGCTTTATGATCCTCAACTGCAGTTTCCTTCTCCGCGGCAGGCTCGGCAGCGGGACTAGGTTCTTCGATCTTCGGCTGTTCTGTCGCAGATTCCTCCGCTGCCTCGACGGGCTCTTCAGCAGCAATCGGCTCGTCTGCCTTGGGCTCTTCGGTCGCTAACTCCTCGACAGCAGGCTCGACCACGGCGGCCTCCTTTACCGGCTCGACGGCTTCAGTAATGGCTGGTGCTTCTTCCGCCTGGGATTCCTCGGGGACATCCTTAGCAGGCTCAGCAATATCAAGAACCACGGCGGGTGCTTCCACCTTTGTCTCCTCTGCCGCTTCCTTCGTTGGCTCAATGGACTCGGCGGTTTCTTCTGTTTTGGGCTCTTCGGTCAGAACTTCCTTTACTGTGTCTTCCTGAGCGGCAATTTCTTGGATAGGAGTTTCCGAAGCTGGTTCTTCCACTGGGGCTTCCTCAGTAGGTTCAACAGAAGCCTCTTTGGCGGAAGGCTCTTCCACTGGGGTTTCGGTAGCCTTTTCCTCCGCGGCATCCACAATTGCAGGAACCTCAGGGGCAACCGCTTCTTCGACCTTGGTCTCGTTTGCGGATTTCTCCGGAGTTGATTCGATGACAGCCTTTTYCTCAACCTTAGGCGCCTCGACAGATTCCTCAGCTGATGGTTTGTCATCCGTAGTCTCCGAAACTGGCTGCTCAGCTGAGGGCTCTTTCTCAGCCACTGGGATTTCGCCCTCGGTAGGGGTGGTTTCGGTGGCCTTGGTCGGCTCTGCGACAGGCGCTTCGGCCTCGGGTTCCTTCATCGGTTCTTCGGCAACATCTGGCTTGGTCCCATCGGCA